TGAGGCACTGGGTTTGATTCTCAGCACTACATATAAATAAATAAATACAGTAAAGGCCCACCAGATCACCAGCTGGATTAGTGAGCAGCCAGAAATGAGGTAATCCACCAGTACCACATATTAAGGATGATGGTGCAGAATTCATATACTCTTGGAATTTTTTTATTATTATTTTTTTAGTTATCACTGGACCATTTATTTACATATTTATCTATATGTTGTGCTGAGAATCAAACCCAGTGCCTCACACATGCTAGGCAAGTGCTCTACCACTGAGCCACAACCTCAGCCCTATTCCTGGAATCTGAGACAAATCCAAGTGGGAGCTGTTTTTCTAGCTAAGTTTCTCATATCAAACGAAACTGAGATATGACAAATATTATAGCATGAAGGTAAATGACTCTAAACCATGATCCATTTTAAAGAGTAGAACTGTGATCCAAGACTAATAAAATGGGCATTAATGTATGTACACATTATTACATGAAGGGCCTCAATGAATAATTAAATGTTCATCTAGTTTTACCGTGTGTAACAATTATAATGGCTTCACTGTATCATAGCTCTGGCTTAAAATGAATAAAGTACCCAGAATGATGAAGAAGGAAACATTTACTCAGGGATATGCTTGCATGTTGCCTTAGAAATTCTTTAGGTGAGCCGGATGTCCCAGGTTTCTTTCTAAAAAGCTTTGCAAGGAAATTTAAGGAGATTTCAACCCTCTTCAACCCTGGATAAACTGACCAAAGCAAGCGGAAGCAGTCACTATGCTGAGCTGAGCATTAACACCTATGAATGTTTAATGACAGTGCTGTTCTTTCCACTGAAAGCTTGTCTCTTCTAAAGTCAGAGCTGACTCTACACTTCCACCCTTCACAGCTTCCTCAGTTACAAAGCACTATGGCAGAGCTGCATGGCGTCAGTGGGGCTCCTTGGGGGACATATGACATTCTGTAACACAGGGTCCTATGAGCACTGGAGGGTTCTTGTTTGCATGCACCTGAAGAATGAAGTACACAGACGACAGAGGGTGAGAATTCAGTAGCATATTTATTAGAAGCCAGCAAGGAAAGCACCTATCGCATGACAGAGGTCCCAAAGAGGATAGTTGGTGGCTCTCTGGATTTTTATACTGTTTTGATGAGGAAAACAGTATAAAAATATAAAACATTATAAAAACAGTATAAAAATATAAACATGTTATTTTTTCATTGGAAAGTATATCTTGATTGTTTTCTTTTTCTGACTCAATTAAAAGTATGAAATTTTAATTTCTTATTCCCATAATGAGATGGTCTAATGTTAGCCAGAGTTTGTCCTATATTTGTTCCTTAAAACAAAAGAATTGCTTGGGTTCAAAACAACTCTCTAGGGTTGACTGTTAGGGTAGTCCAGGAAACCTGAGATGACAACTAAATTTATGGGCATCCAAGAGTGAGAGGGGCCCTCCAGTAAGACAGCCAAAATCAAACAATAAGACAGGCCTTAGCCTAGGGTGTTGATCTGGGGTGGTGGGAGCCCATTCTCTAAGGTCCCCATTTCTGCTTAACTCCTGCCTCAGTTCCATCTTTTTTGGTCCTTTCTTCTGAGAGGTGACAGTGTTTGATATCTACCAGCGCAGGCCATACCACAGGAAAAGAAAAAAAAAATTATCAGATTACATTTTTAGACATTACCTCTTCATAAAATATGTATTGAGAGACTGAGTGTAGAAATGGACCATGGTCACACTATAAAATAGTCTATAAAAATAGAACTCTGGCACAATCTAGAGCAGCCTGCTTAGGACACACACCACCATGCCGTATCTACAAAACCCAGCCCTGGAAGTCAGCCTGCTAAGCGTCAGCCTTGCAGGGAGCCATGTTATTACCTCCAACAGTAATTCATGAGGTGAAACAAAAATTTCTGCAACAAATTGGCCCCAATTGGACAGAACTAGATTAATAACTCACAGCTTTCCTAATTTCTGTTCCCACTTCCAATTTAGGACCAGTCAGAGAGAGCCAAATATGCTCCTCTAACCAATCATAGAGGCTGCCCTGCTTCTACTAAGCTGCCTCAGTTTCCCCAGGCCAAGAGCTTCCTGAAGCTGCCCCTTTATACCTGTGCTCTCCCACTCTCCTGTCCACCTTTGAGTTCCTGCCAAATTCAAGTGATGGTGGCGGTCCCCATGCTACAGCCTTTAGGTCATGCTATGACCCTCTTAATCAGCAGCCTTTGCTTTGGTATTGCTTTGGTTGGTCTCCCTTTATTTTGCCTGTGTGTGTGTGTGATGCTGGTGACCTGCTTTCTGATCATTCATTCCTCCCCGTCACATGGCCTTAAGAAACCCTTCACCTCCACTCTTCCCGTGGAGGCCTGCCTAACCACCTGCCTTCGCCCACTTCTAAGGATAAAGATTCTCTCCTAAACACCAGTCAGGCTTCCCCACCAGGCCTCAACCTGGTCTATAAACTAACCACTCTCAGAACAAATGATTTTGTCTACCGCCTTCCTCCTACATGAAAAGACTAATGTAGTTTCTAACAGCTCAAGGCCAAGTCCCTAGGATGACCCTAACCCCTTACAGTGCCAGGAAACCCAAGGTTGCTGGGAGGAAAGAAAAAAAAATCGATCCAACATCTGAACTAGGCCCCAGATCATTTTCTCAGAGCTTTAACTAAAAAGGGCTTACAATTGTGAATCCTTCCTCTGTCCCTTTGAGATGTTTGCGTATCTGCACTACTCAGAGAATGTCTTTCTCAAGGACCTGAAAGCCATTCCTTTGAAATGTATCCTCCACAAGGATAGGGCCTGTCTCTCTCAGTCTCTGTGGGAGGATTGAATCCTAACCTCAATAATTACCATCCAACAGACACAGCTGGCCTAATCAGCATTTACAGTGACCAACCCTTTGAAATTTTTCACTTCCCTGATTGCCTAAGCTTCCCCTAGTCCTTTCCCCTAATCCTTCATTCTCTCTTTTAAAAGGTGCTGTCACCTCTGTAAAAGTGGGAGTTCAGTTCCCTGCCAGACCCTCTTCTTTACTGCAATTATTATTGCTTATGTAATTATTATTATTACTGATTAAAAGCTGTCCTTACAGATTAACTAGTGTCTGGCTTTGTTTATCTTTGACAAAACCAGGTGCATGCCTCCAGCCTTCCCCCACAACACCAGTAGCTAGTGCCTGGTTTTACTTAATCTCCCAGCCAGGGTGCTTACGCCTGTTTGGTTGTCTGAAAGGAGCAGTACTTGTCACCCTCAGCTCCCACAGTTAGACCCCTGGTAGCCAGTTGCATTCCAGTTAAGTTTTTCCATATTTAAGAAATCTTTCTCTGTGTGAGAAGACCCACTCCCCCATAAAACCCTCTCTGATTAACCAAAGGCTTGTAGTTCTCTTGTGTAACCACCCTCAAGTGGTTTGGAAATAAGAATGTTCCCCCAAGAAGTTCACGTTAGTCAATGCAGTGAAAATTTCAGAAGTGAAAAGACTGAATCATGAGAGCTGTAATCTCCCCAGTGTATTAATCCATTTGATGGATTAATCATTGGAGTAGACTATTGTATGGTAACTACAGGCAGGTGGAGCAGGGTGGCAGGATATAGGTTACTGAGGATGTGCACTTGGGGACTATATGTTGTCCCTAGTTACTCACAAACTTTTCACCTGGCTATGTTGAGGTGAGCAGCTTGCCTCTGCCACACCCTTCTGCCATGATGTTTCCAACCATGGATGGAACCTCTGAAACCATTAGCCAAAATAAACCTTTCCTCTTCTAAGTTGTCCTCATCAGAGCACAAAAAACTGATTAACACAGGCTTAATCCTTGCAGTTCCAGAATGGCTGTTATATGTACAATGAGGATGATGACAACTACTGCACAGGCTGGTAGTGACAGCAAATAATGCCCAGCACATATCTGGAGGTCATGGCCAGTTAGTGAGGGAATGAATGGCAGAGAGCACATGGTACTTCCTAAATCTTTCAAAATGACAAAACAGAAAATAAGCGAGGTCCAATGCATAAATCCCATAACTGACTATCTTTCAACTGCATCTGCTCACCCAACACACACTAACCTGATTAGTTCATTTTCTAGTGATTCCAATAGATTGAAATTTCCTCTTCCTTTAATTCAAATCTACATCCCTGCAATTTCTGTCCCTGGATCCTGGCTCAGTTCCCGGGTCACACAACATAAAATCAAGAGCTACGCTTCCAGTTTCTTTACTTCTCAACTCCTGTTTTGGCTTTGGGGTGGGCTCCTATGGGATAGCTGGGGAACTTGATGCCCTCGTGTACCCTACCAGCTTCCCACACAATGTTAAAGGTAAAACACTCAGAAAAAGCGTGCATCCGAGTTTTATTTCACACTTGTAGCACAAAGGGCAGCAAACGAAAATGCTAGTATAAAAAGGAAAGTGTGGATCAGTGGATCTCAAACTTGAGCTACATGAGAACTCCCTAGTGAATTGGTTTGAACACCTGATGTTGGGTACAGGTTTAGTATGCCAGGTACAGGGCCCAGATTTCACATTTCTAACTAGTTCCCAGGCGGTGCTGCTGCTGCTGCTGCTGCTGCTCCTCCTCCTCCTCCTCCTCCTGCTCCTGCTGCTGCTGCTGCTGCTGCTGCTCACACTCTAAAGAATCACCAGTTCTGCTTAGTTTAAAAGGTGAGGGGCTGGCATGTAGCTCAAGCGGTAGCGCGCTCGCCTGGCATGCGTGCGGCCCAGGTTCCATCCTCAGGACCACATACAAACAAAGATGTTGTGTCCGCCTAAAACTAAAAAATAAATGTCAAAAATTTCTCTCTCTTAAAAAAAAAAAAAAAAAAAAGGTCAGGGGCTGCAGAGCTGCCACTCTTTTATCATTGGACAAGTAAATGTGGTTACGCCACCAAAGCCAGAGCTCCTGGGCCTCTAGCCAGAATCGGGTTCCCTTCCTGGGCAATGCCAGAAGGGCCCATTTGAGTGTGCGGGAGCGTTTTGCTGTTTCTTCAAAGGCAGATGCTTACCGGGAACGGAATGAAATCTGGGACGAAGCTGTCCTGTCGCCCCAGCGTACAGTGTTTCCTTCCTAGCACCAGCCAGCCCGCCCCGTCAATCCACGCGCGCGCCGGAGGCAAGGGCTGGGCGGCGGCGGCGGCGCGCGCCAGGGGGAGGGACGTCCCCGTCTCCCGAGCGCGAAGGGGCCGCCCTAACGGCGCCGGGACTCCCCACTGCGCACGCGCGCCAGTGCCTCGGACGCGGAGAAGAGGGACCCGGAAGTGGCCGTGCCGAGGGGCTGCCGTTCCTCCAGGCTGAGAACCGCGGTGTCTGTTCCTCTGCCGCCCTCCCGTCCCCCCGTCCCCCCGTCCCCCCGTCCCCCCGTCCCCCCGTCCCCCCGTCCCCCCGTCCCCCCGTCCCCCCGTCCCCCCGTCCCCCCGTCCTTTCGCAGACTGGAATGAATACACCAGGATACTCTGGACGTGGGGGTTTTATGAAGTTCCGTTTAAAACTAAAAACCTGACTGCCGAAACCCGGGATCGAACCAGGGACCTTTAGATCTTCAGTCTAACGCTCTCCCAACTGAGCTATTTCGGCGCCTTTTGCAGCGTTCTTTGGCTAAGCTTTTACTGAGCACTCCACGTCCAATTGTCACACCTGCATTTTCTAATGAGCACTTACAAAGTTCCGCGATTTCTTTGTCCTGCTCCACGGTAACCGCCCTCCCGCCCGCCATTCCCCAGCCCGGATCCGACGCGCACCACCTCTGCGCCCGCAGCCCCGGCGATGGCTCGCCGGGGACTGGAACTGGGGGTCCTAGGGAGCCGATTCCCTGCTACACGTGCGTCACTGTGCGGGAAAGTTCCAGGGTCCCCGCGACGAGCGGTGTTGGCGCAAAACTGTTGTATTGAGTGGACAGGGCCTTGGAGGCAAGAATAGTGTTCCGCCAGCCTCAGGTGCGGAGTTTGCACCCTCCGGTGCACCTGGGTGCGGGAGCGCCCGCCTTGATTATCATCTCTTTGAATGGAGCCTGCTTGGCAAAAGCTAGGCCAGCTCACGAAGGACGAGTACTCAAATGTCAGTGCTACTTCTTAACGCAAGTCGCAAATATTCCTCAAGTACCCATTAAGTGTCAAGCTAGGACATTCTGCAACTCCCAACATCCTATTGTTATGTTCTGTTTTTCATCCTCTCCAATTAAATTGGATTTATCTCATGGCAAGGATCTCTCACTTTACCGCCCTTTTAACCTGCTCATTAGAGCTTTGCATTAAAGTGGAAGCTTCTCAACCAATTTGGATGAATGGATGGATGGATTCAAAGGGGAAAGAAAAAGTAAATTGGAAGCGTCTGCAGTCTCTGTTGTTACCACCAGTTCTCCTCCCCTTCTGGAAAAGAGTCTCTCTCTGAGTTCCTTGGTTGTGCCATATCCAAACACAAAGAACCTGAGATTTAGAAGTCAGTGGGTAAAGGCGGGAGAGACCCAAGAGAATTTGGAGTTAGAGAAGTTCAGAGGTTTAGGGAGCTTTAGAGTGGAAGAAGTCTGGGGCAGTCGCCTTAATATCGTACATTTAAAAGGAAGCAGAGAAAGAAGAGTTTTACAGGTTTTCTTACATGTTCACAATGTCCCCTTCACATTCTGAAAATACTGCAGGAAAGACTTGACTTATTTTCAATGACTCTTTGGGTTCCCAGTTGGCAACTCTTTACTGTTAACTGCCTGCCTGGATTGAATCATGCCGTAGCTGAACTTCTTAGATTTTTACAATTCATGTCTTCAGGTTAACATTTAATCTAGGAAGTCTCTCCTGAAAATATGTATTTTGGATGAATGTCAATGGAGGGGGTCAATAATAGACATGAGATCCAGGTCATAGTGTTGCCCTTTCTTGATCTGCTAGCCACACAAGCAAACCAGTAGCTTCACATGTTGTTACCTGGAAAATCAAACCCTAGGTAACTAAAAAAGTGGCAGGTAACTTTTGATGGGATTTGGGGTGGGAACAGGGGGTAAGAAAAAGTGTAGGGTCTGAGGGGAAATGGAGGAACAGGAGTAAGAGACACATGAAGAAGAAAGAGTGTAACCAATAACATTGTCTTTACAATTTAATAAAATCCTGTGGCAAATTATGAGACAATAGAAACTACATTGTAATAGGGATCATATGCTGAGTAAAGGTTGATTTCAGAATGTAAGGTTGTGATGCATGTCATGGGTAAGCTGGGTGCCACAGTGTCCTGGTTTTTCCAGGATATTCCTTATTACATGTATTGTCCCAGAATCCCACTATGGTAGTACCCCTTTCACTGTTAAAAGTTTAAAATGCCCTGGAATGACCAGAACATAAATAATATAGTGGGCTGATTTATAAACACTGTAGAAAAGACTTCAGTTTGCTATCATACAATGAACTACACAGGTTTCATGATCAGCTCAAAGATTTTTAATACCAAGCAAATATTTGCTGTTGTTATTTTACAAAGAAAACTGAAAGTTTCTGGGACTTAGCCCTATGGGGCTGGGGATGTGGCTCAAGCGGTAGCGCGCTTGCCTGGCATGTGCCCGGTGCTGGGTTCGATCCTCAGCACCACATACAAATAAAGATGTTGAGTCTGCCGAAAACTAAAAAATAAATATTAAAAAATTCTCTCTCTCAAAAAAAAAAGGTTTATTTTGGCTGACAGTGTTGGAGGTTTTCCAGTGCATGGTTGGTGGATTCATGGCTTTGGGAGTGGCAGTGCATTATGGTGGGAGCACATGAAGAGGAAGTCCATTTACCTCATGACCACGATGAAGAGGTGGGTCTCACTATTCTCGTCAAGGGTAGGCTCCCAATGACCAGAAGACTTCTCTCTAGGCCCTGCCTCTTATAAGTCTATCACTTCCCAGTAGCTCCATTTTGGGGAGCAAGCCTTTAACACATGTGTCTTTGGGGGATACCATAGGTTCAAACTATAGCAGTTCTTAAACTATTTAGCCATGTGTCCTGGGTTACTGCAGTAAATCCACAGGGATTCTACAGAACACCTTACAAAAACAGCCATATTCAACACCTTGGGGACACTGCAAAGTTTCAGGCAGTTGATAGCTTCAGCCATCGGTCACTCTACATTTCTTTCAGGGATGCCATCTCTTTGCTAAAGCTAGGCTGTCTACAGTCATGATAAAAAGCAAGAGCCCATGAAAACCAATGGGAATTAGGAAATTCAAGTGGAGGCAGCGAATCTTCTTCCTTGAGAAACTGTGAAATTGGCCTGAGAAGTTTTGCACCCAAGGTGCACACACATCCCAATGATAAGTAATTGTGGTTAAGAATTGAATGAAAATACAACATTTCTTTCAATTTATGTGTATAATTTTTTTCAAGAGGCTACATAACTGTGGGACATAAATACTTATTAAGCTGTTTGGGCCCAAGTTCTTAATAAAAGGAAGTGTTGGGTATTTCTTTTGGCCTGGGGGCATTAGGAAAAAATACCAAGACACTAAGAACATTGTGAGCAGAGAAAGTTCATGAATGAAAATTGTTAGAGTTAGGGAGAAAACTTTGCTTTACTCAGTTGCAAAGGCAAAAAGAGCTACCTTCCAGAGCATCTGTGGAGACCAAGTATCACGCGCTAAGTGAAGCAAAAATTTGTGCACATGTGTCACAGTAAGAAGGGTCAGATGATAAAGATGTTGGCATTCAAAATAAGGGTAAGAATATTGAAGACGCCAAGTTGAAAAAAAAAAAAGAACTTTTTGTAAGCTGCAGTCCTGTCTTCCTAATTAGCCCAAGGATTTTGGCCAGCTCCAGTCTAATTACCTATGAAAACTAATTATGAGAACTAACTATGTAGATCTAATAAAAGTAAAGAGAGTACATTGTATATGGGTAAAACATCTGATCAACTTTTGAACTGCTGTAAACTTATTATCTGCCCTTAACTTTGCTCCTGGGACCCCATAGCATGTAGACACACAGAGCACTTATTTTTATTTGCCTCTGCTATTAATTATTCAGTATTTCTCAAAAGGGTTAAAAATATGATGTGGGTATATGAAAAGGACAAAGAGCAGTTTAAATGGCTCCTGTGGGCCCAAACCGGGATTTTCTGAACATCACAATAAACAAGGAGTATAAAGGGATTAAGTAAAATGAGAATCAACCCATGAGTACAAGTGCAATATCTAGGAAGGGAGGTGAGGGCCAAGTGAGGGCTTTTGCTTGTACCTGACTGAGTTGGGTCAAATGATAAATGTGGAGGGAGTGGTGGCTCTGGAAATCACCATTTTCCAAACACCAGTAATGATTGATTCATCCAGGAATCATCAATGGATGTTAAGTCTGGGGTAGGAAGTTTTATGAGGCCATCAGCTCATGGCTCCAAGGTGTCTCTCCATAGTTTGCTTAATAATACAAGGGGGAGTCATGGTGGCTCATGCCTGTATCCCAGTGGCTCGGGAGGCTGAGGCAGGAGGATTGCAAGCTCAAAGCCAGCCTCAGCAATTTGGCCAGACCCTAAGAAATTTAGCAGGACCCAAAAACAAAAAAACAGCAAGACGTGGTGGTGCATACCTGTAATCCCAGTGGCTGGGGAGGCTGAGACAGGAGGATTGCAAGTTCAAAGCCAGCCTCAACAACAGTGAGGCACTAAGCAACCCAGTGAGACACTGTCTCTGAATAAAATACAAAATAGGGCTGGGGATGTGGCTCAGTGTTTGAGTGCCCCTGAATTCAAACTCCAATATCCACCACGCCAAAAAAAAAAAAGGACTGGTGATGTGGCTCAGTGGTTAAGCACCCCTGAGGAGTTTAATCTCTGGTACCAAAAAAAAAAAAACACTTCAAGGGAGGAAATAGCAGCTGTACAGTAGAGAAACTCCACAATGCCTTAATTTGGTCATCAAAATTAACATCACCAACAAAGGGACAAATAGCATGCACTTCCTAATGTGATGCCCTAAAAAGGACACCGTACACTTAGAGTATCCAGTCAGGGGTACAAAAGCTGAATTTAATCAGGAGGTAACATCAAACAAAACCCAAATAAAAGTCATTTTAGCCTGTATTCACCAAAAAGTATTAAGATCATGAAAGTAAAGCTGAGGATCTGCCCCTTCTGAAAGCTGGCTAAAGAGACATGACAGCCTATTGCAGTGTCTCAACCTGTACTGGTTTTACTCCAGAGGGAGATGTCTTAAAGGATATTATTGGGACAATTCTTGAAACTGGAACATGGGTTGTAGATCAGATAAATGTTATATCACTGTTAAGTTGCATGAAGTTGGCAACCATGGGCAAAAAACTGTCTTTTTTTAGGAAATACTAAAGTATTCAAGGATAATTAACTCTTAAATGGTTCAGAAAATAAATAAATGTGTGCATATTATATGTAAATACATACACAGAGAAAGAAAATATGAAACAACAAATAGGGAAAATATTAAAAGTTGATGAATCTGGGTAAAATCTGTATGGAATTTCTTTATCTGTGCCATCTTGTAACTTTTCTGAGAATTTGAAACTCGATTTAAAAAAAAAAATACAAATATTTTTCACTGTCTTCTAAAGCCAAAACTATTTCAGTTAGAGCATGAAGAAAACTTAGGCTTATTTAGCCTGATCCACAAGTTTTACATATTAGGATATGGAGGTCCAGAAACACTGAGTATCTTGCTGCGATTTATTGTATTAGTCTGCTTGAGCTGCCATAACAAAATATCATAGACTAAAATTGACAATCAGAAGTTAATATTTTCACAGTTCAGAGGTTAGGAAGTCCAAGATCAAGGAAGCCAGATGATTGGGTTTCTGGTGTGGGCTCTCTTCCTGACTTGCCAACAGTGCCTTCTTTCCTTCCATGCATGTGTGAGAACATGCATTCATTCCTACTGGATCAGTACCCCACTTTTACCACCTCTTTCACCTTAATTACCTCCTAAAGCCCTATCTCCAAAAATAATCACATTGAGGGTTGAGATATATGCATTGGGCATGTGGGGGATACAATCCAATCTATAGTAGTTACACAATTTGATACACAACTGACTGCTCACCCATAAAACATACTCTTCACCTTTCATCAAATTCCTTTCTTTTTTTCTTTTTTTTTTTTTTTATAAAACAGACTCTATTTCAATTGATAATTAGCATGAGAGTCTAACTCTCAAATTGGAATCTGGGGCTGGGGCCCAGCTTTTTTTATAGATGCTTTTTTTTTATGTGCATGACTATGCATTTTGAAGTTCTCTGCATGTAGAAAACAATACCTTTGCTTGATGGATGTAAAATGATTTCTTCAAAGTTACATGTTAAAGTTGTGTCTTAGGGGAAAAGTATTATAAAAAAGTTAATAGATTGCAAATATCATCAGTGTGCTGAATTGATCCAAAAGAAGTTAATTTATTTAAAGCCATTAAACCACAAGTCGATGAAGATCTTACTGTTTTTTGTTTTTGTTGAATCGCATGCATCAATATAAAGCCTGTGGGTATACTTACCAGGCCAGAAACAATTAAGTAAATTATACTCAAGAACAACTTACCAAGCTTTTTTTTTATGTTCTAATCCAATCCTCCCACGTCCATCTACCAAACGCCTAACTAACCATGTGGATTTTGCTCAATACCCTAAAGGCCAGAAAACTTGGATTCCAGAACTTAAATTTCAGAGACTCAGTGCTCTTTAAATACTGCTTAGTTTAATTGCTTGTCTCTCCCTTTTGATGAAGTGGGCCAGGCTCCAAACTGTATTCCTCCAACTGTCCTCATCCCCCCATCTGCCCACCCTCATCCAGTGACTAAGGATAAGGCCTGATCACTCACCCAAAGAAATCAAATGAAATAAACTTAATATAGAAGTTTCCTAAATCCATTGATTTTTTTTTAAATGGTAGAAACTACAAATAAATCAGTATTTTCTTTTGCCCCAGCGAAGGTGGGGCAAGATGGTATTCACTTGTTACAGAGCTGGGGCCTTCTGAGAACTGGAGGCAACGCAATGTCCCCCTGTCATACCCCAATTCTTGCAACCATGTCAGAAAAATTTCAGACATGTCGCTCAGAGGTATAGGTGTACGTTTATTGAAGGAATAGGGAAAGGGGAAGGGGACATTCTCAAGGGAAAGAGTGGGTCATCTCAGAGAAGAGAGGGACAATGTGCCTCCCCTGCACTTCAGTTTTATTGGGCATCCTAGGGAAGTTTCCAGAGAGTCCCACCCAGGTCCACCTCTTGACTTTTGATTGACAGCAAGATGACATGGGACTTTCAAGTACCCACTGCCGTGGCAACTCTAGGTCACCTTGGCCCGTGCTAACTGGTTCTAATTGGATTCTTAACCATACAATCTTTACAGATTCTGTTGTTAGGAGAAATTATTCTTATCTCTCTTTATTAAAAGTCTTCTGGGTTCCTTCTGTTGATATTATCTCTAGCCTGCAATTTCTCCTGCAGTTAACAGGTATTTTGCTGAAAAATGTGACATAATCCTGTTCACTTCTTGGGAATTAAAAAAAAAAAAAGCTTATGGGCATCAGCACAGTGGGCCCATTTTATGGAATTACTCTATTAACCTCATGTTCACACTATTTACATCTGTCGGTTCTCTAACACATTGGCTGGAAGCTCAGAAAAGGAAACTCTGTTTCCCTTTTGACCTTACAGGTGCCTCACATTCTTGACTTGTAGGGTCTCACAACCCTAAAATGGTCTAAAAATTACTTAAAACTAACCACGTTTGAAATACAATGAATGCAGAAAGAAACCTTTTCTGAGCTTCCCTTATATAGCCTTCCAAGAAGTAAAGCTGCCCTAAGTCTCCTCTCTGAGGAACTTCCAGCAAGAAAGGAGACTAAGAGCGGCTGGGTAAGAAATTGCATAAACCAAATGGTAGTACTTTTCATTTATTCACCTAAAAGCTGTTTGTTTCTCTTCCTGTCTCCTTATTAAGTTCGTGCACAAACTTTTGTCCTTAGCTGTTCAGCCATTCTCTACATTTGAATGATCCTACATGCATGTGAATTACAATTTTCTCCATCAATCCATGTATTGTGAGTTAATTTGCAACCTCCACCACTGGACCCTAAACTAGTAGGAGGAAAATTCTCACAACCCTTTCCTCTGCTTTCATTTTCTTCTCCAGGTCTATCTTTCTGTATCCTTATTCCCCAACTCCATCTCCTCCCATTAGCCAATGATTAAACCCTCTTGCACCTGCACTCAGAATGTAGAATTTGTTATTAAAAAAAAAAAAAGAACAGAGACAAGCCAACTCTTCCCTACCCTTGCACACATAGCCAGAGTTTATCAAGGGGATGTGAGTGGGTGGGTAGGATGGGTGAGAGCAAGGAAGGGCGAAGCTTTTCTGCTTCCTGTGGTCAGGACTTTTGCAGGACTGTAGGGTGAGGCGGGAGCCTCACAGACCCACTTTCCTTCTGAAGTTGGAGAGGTCAGGACACTGGCTCAGAGCTTTCCCAGATTAGGGGGTTAGAAAGTAGGGCCCTAACCTCAGATTCCCCCCCTTCGCATTCCAGCCCAGTACAAACATTAATAATTGGAAAAGTTAGCTTACATTTTTTCCCAATCACAGAAAGTTGCATACATTTCCAAAGAGAATAAACCTGCAGCCCAGCCCCATCATTCTGTTTTTCCCATGGATGATGCAAGGTATGATCCTTTCCTGACAGGCAGGTCATGCCACAGACAAGAGCCCCTCTTCTGACAACACATTCTGCCCTCCCTGATGACAGTAAGTGTCTAGATAGCTGAATAAAGAGCAATACTTCCGTCTAAAAATAATGGATACTTTCTTGTTTGTTCCATAGGAATACAACAAGCAAAATCAAAGTGCTATTCTTTACGTCACTAAAATAAATACACACACACACACACACACACACACAGGCATCAAGTATTGGTGCTAGAGTAATATTTATAAAACATAAGGGAGCTTAGATCAGCTGAGACAGGACTTCTACCCTAACTGTGAATCCATGAAAGCCCAGAGAAACGAATGATTCCCAGTAACACAGTTTTTGGTGACAGAAGTAGGGCTAGAACTAGGTTTCAGGTCCCAGGTCAAAGCTGCTATACTGCACCATGCCTGTCCCTATATGAGACCAGCCTTGTCAGAATACAGGTTTGTTTAAATCTATGATCAATAGACATTTCAGGAATAGTTGGTCCTTTATATCTGAGGGTTCAATTTCCTTGAATTCAACCAACCACAGATTGAAAATTTTTAAAAAAGCCTGTCTATGCTGAACATGTACATTTTCTTGTCATTTGTCCATAAATGTTACAGTATGATAACTATTTACACAGCATTTACATTGTATTACAAATAATCTAGAGACGATTTAAAGTATACAATGTGTATCAGCTGTATTCAGTGTAACATTTTATATCAGAGACCTAAGTAGCCTCAGATCCTCAGAGGTCCTGGAACCAATGCCCCTCAGATGCCATCGGTGTGAGGTCTTGAGGCAGTTGTCATGACTTATTCAGTCCTCAAGTCTTGCTACTTACACTAAACTGGCAAAGTCCCTGAGCCCCTAAAGAACTTCTATGCCAACTTTGAGAATCTTGAGGCCTAATTGCTTCCAAATGAAAGTCTGGCCCTAAAAAAGGACCTGCTAAGAATGATTTATATGTCAGTATAAATAGAATTCCTTCAAACTGACTCTGTGGGCCTCTGGATGTGTTCTCATAACATGCCCAGTGCCACCTATGAAGGGTTCTTGTTGAAAATGTTTGACCTGAAGCCACTTGAGCCTCCAGGTAGACCTGACTTCCAACTGGTAAGAAATTTAGAAAATGGAGAAATGAGATTGATGAAACCATGACGAAATGACCAGATATACCCAGAATATGACATTCTCTAAGATACCTGGCCTATTTGTCTACAAAACATCAAGGTTGGGTTGGGAGTGTGGCTTGGTGGTAGAGTGCTTGCCCAGCATGTGTGAAGCCCTAGGTCCCATCCCCAGCACAGCCAAAACTTAAAAAAAAAAAAAAAAAAAAGTCAATGTCATGGAAAAAAACTAAAACATCAAAAAAATGGAAAGATAGTTTTTATATTTAATTGTCTAAAAGACATCACCTACTGTAATGTGTGGATCATTATTGGATAATGTGTAGGGGAAAAAAAAACCAAATGAGAGACTTTGGGGGGAATATGGGGAGATTTGAACCTGTGTATTGAATATCAGAAAATGATTTAATTTCTTAAGAATGAAAATGACATGGTCATTATTTATTTATTGTTTCTAGAGGATTTTGCTGAAGTATTTTGAGTTTAACTGTCACATCTATCACTTACTTCAAATCACTGTCTCATATATAGAGAAAAAAGTCAATACAGCAAAATGTCAATGTTGTTGCATCTAGGTGGAAACTGTATCTCCCAATTTTTCTGTATGTTTTAAATTTGTCATAATAAAATTTGAGAAAAGAGCCAAGTGTGGAAGTTCATACCCATAATGCCAACTACTGGGAAGGTTGAGGCAAGACTTCAAGTTTGAGTCTAGCCTAGGCAAATTAGCAAGATCAACATTTTAAAAAATTCTTTTTAAAGGGCTGGGCATGTAACTCAGTGATAGAGCACTTGCCTAGTACAAGCAAGGCCCTGAGTTCAATCCCCAGCACTACCAAAATATGTTTTTTGAAAAAAGACAAATATTAAAATATTAGTCATATCTTACAGATCCTACCAATATAGAAAAATTGGGAGATATAGTTTCCAGCTAGATACAACAACGTTGACATTTTACTGTATTGACTTTTATCACTATATAGGAGAGAGTGATTTGAAAGTAAGTGATAGATGTGACAGTTCAACTCAAAACACTTCAGCAAAATCCTCTAGAAACAATAACATAACATCCAGGAATTTTTTAAAAAATGTTCTTAGTTATAGACGGACACAATACCTTCAGTTTATTTATCTTTAATGTGGTGCTGAGATGTGAATCCAGTGCCTCACATGAGCTAGTCAAGGACTCTACCACTAAGCCACAACCATAGCCTCTGGAAATTTCTGAATTTTAATACTATTTTTCATTAAAGACTGACGAACACTGTTTCCTATTAATGGGATTTTAGGCATAGGAAGGTAACCAGGGATTTTGTAAGAGTTCTTTCCTAAAATAGTCAGTCTTGGTAGCCTCTTTGTGCATTTATTGCTAAGATTTGGTATGTACATAACAAGCCATATATTTTAAATCATCAGATCAGAATAATATGACAAAAAAAATTCTTGCTTCTGTTTTTACTTTGAAAATCTTACAAAAGCATAAAATAAAAATGTATAGCTTTTAATACAAAATGAATCATCTTTCTTGAAAAATAACACAATTTAATGACATATTAAATTTGGAAACAGAGTTTCCATACTTTGTAGTCAACTCCAGTGTAATTTATAGTGATATATTTAACTTTACAAGGTCAACATAATAATCTATCATGACATATGTTGGGTATAAAAATGTCTTGTCTTTTATTCTTAACTTTTAATTTCCTATTTGAATCAAGCATTCAGTTTTGACCTTCACAATTACTAAGGGAAATCAGATTGCAGTAATTAGAATATTGCAGTAACATCATCTAAAACTATGGTTTGATTAGTCCATTAACTAAAGCAACCACAATCCCAACTCCTGAGAATTTTAAACTGATTTAATTTTAGCTGTGCAGTACACTATTCTTTTTTATGATAACTGAAATATTTGCAGTTAGTCAGAGGTAGTGTACTTATTTAGAATGTTACAAGGACAATAGGAAAATCTGCAGAATAGTATATTAACTTAAGGGAAATGTACATTTCGCTTGGAATTTTCATTTGATATGTAATAACCAGATAGCTCAAATAAAAATTTTGCTTTGGAGGGTATTTTTTTCTGGGTAAAGAAAAATTGCTTTGTATTTTCACCTAATTTTATTTTTTTAAAATGTGGATAAAACTACTGAGTCGATGATTCAAGTTTATATTTTTTCTAGAAATACATGTTTCTCAAGGGCTTATGTAATATTTATTTAATACCTCTATTATTTTTAATCAGCAGTTTAATCTGGAAATGGGCTTTCCCTCCCCTTACACCCATATATTTATATTTCTCACAACCATCTTCATTAAGAGAGCAATGTTTTCATTCCAAATCAATAGATGAGGGACTAAGCAAAGTGCAGAACTGTTATGAAACATTGATTTGGAAGGCTTTCCAGTATTTTAGAGTCAAAGGAAAGAAACCAAGAACTAAAATTGCTTCTCGCAGGGCTGTGGCTGTGGCTCTGCGGTAGCGCACTTGCCTGGCATGTGTGAAGCACTGGGTTTGATTCTCAGCACCACATATAAACAAATAAAAAAAAAAGTCTATCGACAACAACAACAACAAAAAAATTGCTTCTTGGGCTCCTCTAAATTGACTTAAGTCAAGATGATGAAAGGGGGCTTCCTGCTTTCAGAATTTAGGAAAGAAAGGTTACGTTGGTCAAAGAGAAATCTTCTGTCATTGAGACAACCCCTTTTTAAAACTGTCAGTTAGAACATAGCAAGTTTAGCTATGAACACAGCAGTATTAGAAATACAATTAAAGGTAAGAAAGGATCAAATAAGAATCACTCAAAGAAGTTTCTACAAAGAAGCCCCAAAGGGAGAACAGTCTTTCTAAATAATAAAAAACAAATAGACCTAAATGAAATCAGAAGCAAGCATAAGACTTGCTAAACTGGTTGATCTCCTTCATGAAATGAAAGGTTTAAGGAAGAAACTGAGCTTTGTGTACACAGTGGTGTGTAGAAAAGCAAAGGCCTCTGCCTGTGGTAGGGTTATTTGGGGAGATGAGCTCAATAGGAGCAAGGATAGAGAAAGAGGCAGAGAGAAACCTAGACAGATAACAACAAAGACCCCGCTCCTTTACAAACCTATACATGAATTGAGATGCTGTGCATCCATGCCCACGGATGCAGAGATGATTACACTCCCAAGTCTAATAGGGCACATAAATTATAAGCACACAAATCATACCCATAAAGTATGGTTAATACAGATGGTAGAACCTCAACATCTGCAGGTGAGGCCAAATATTTTCATCTGTTTTCTGTTGCTATAACAAAATACCTGAGGCCAGACATCTTATAAAGCAGAGATTTATTTAGCTCACAGTTATAGGGGTTAAAAGTCCAAGAGAAGATAACTGTGTGTTTGGGCCTCTGTTAAGGGCCTTGTGGCAGAAGTCATCACAATGGCAGGCATGAGTGCAGATCATGTGGTGAGACAAAAAGCCAGAGAGGGGATTCAGGGAGCACTTTCAGAGGCTTACTCTCTTTATAACAACTCACTATTGTGGGAACCAACCAGATTACCATGAGGGCGTGCGTACCCCTCATTACCTAACGGCCTCCCACTAGGTCTTGTCTCTTAAAGGTTCCACTCTTGGGTGTTGATAAACCATTTAATTCCCAAATATATATACATATATATATGAATCTCAACTCTTGCCCAGATTGAGCTTGATTCCTATATTTGACACTTGGATGTCCCACAGACCCTTCAGACTAAACATTTTCCAAAGCTCAGCATCTTCTAAACTTACCATTCTCCACTCTTTCCAATTCAACATTCAAAATCTTAAAATACCACCCAAGTCAAGAAACATCACCTCCATGTACCATCAATCAATAAGTTTTTTAATCTAAAAGTTCTCACATCTGTCCCCAGCTCTATCCCCATTTGTAGTGTTGCGCTTTAGGCCTTATCATGGCTAGCTTGATTTACTGCAATGGCTTCATAAGTTGGATTCCTGCAGGAGTTCAATCTTTTCTTCCTTAAATTCATCTTCTATACTGTTCCCAGAATAAGCTATCAAAATGTAATTCTGCAGTCAATAAAAATGGCAAAAGTTCTTATAACATGTAAAAATGTTCATGATGTATTGCTAAGGGAAAAAAGGCAGGTTCCAAACCAGTATGTCTACAATGATCCCATATTTGGTTTTTAAAAATGTGCACAAATGCACCGAAAAATGAAATGGAGTACACCAAAATAATCACAGAGGTTACCTTCCAGGGGTAGATTAAGGATGACTGTGTTAGTCAGCAGTCAGCTTTTCATCACTGACCAAAATACCTGACAAAACAACTTCAGAGTAGGAAAGACTTATTCTGGGTCATGATTTTAGAGGTTCAGTCCACGGTCAGCTGGCTCCATTGCTTTGGGCCTGCCTGAGGTGAGGCTGGACACCATGGCCAAAGTGTGTAGCAGAGGGGGGCTGCTCAGCTCATGGCACTCAGGAAGCAAAGAGAGGGGAAGGAAGGAGTCAGAGACAAGATACAGTCCCTCAGGGTCCCCCCAATGACATACTTCCTTCAACTATGGCCACTTGCCTATAGTTGCCATCTAGTAATCTTTTCAAAAGGTTAGAGCCCTTATGACCCACTCCTAAAAGTCCCACCTCTGGACATTAATTACTGTACTGGAGACCATGTCTTCAATCCATGAAATCTGGGGGATGTTACAGATCCAAACCATTACAATGGCTTTCAGACTTTTGTTTAATTTTCCAAGATTTCTGCAAGAAGCACATGCTAATTAGAAAAAAGATAAATCCACAAATTGACAATGTCAATTTCTTCCTTAAAATCCAGAATCAGCTCCTCACTGGCAAGACAAGGTCCAAGCATCTTACTACTAATTCCCCTCCAGCCTTTTCTCCCCATCTTACATCACAGAGCAGAGGCTCTCAAACATCGTGCATCTTGGTTCCTAAGCCTTACCTCCAGAGGTTCTGATTGTCTAAGGTGTGGCCCAAGAATTTGCCTTCCTAATTGGTTCCCTGGTGATGCAGATGATTTTGGTTTGGGAACACATTCTTTACAATTATTACTGTGGTAAAATGTATATGATGTAAAATTTACCATTTTAACCACTTTTAAGTGTATAATTCAGTGGCATTAAATACCTTCACAAAATTGTACAAACATCACCATTTTCCACTTTTAGAACTTTTTTTTCATTTTCCCAAGCAAAACCTCTGTACACATTAAACAATCCCCCCTTTCTCCCTCTGAGCCCTAGTAAATTCCTATCATATTCTCTGTCTCTATGCATTTGCTTACTCTAGGTAGTTCACAGGAGAGGAATCATACTGTATTGCTCTTTGGGTATGGCTTATGAATAATGTTCATAAGTTGCTCATAGTTCATCCATGTTTTTGCATGTGTAAAAATTCCAGGTTGAATAATATTCCCTTTGTCTCTACATACTGCATTTTATTTATCCATTCTATCTATCCTTGGACACTTGTGTGGTTTCCACCTTGTGACTAATTGTGAGTGACAATGTTAAAACCCCTGTGCACATGTATATTTGGGTCTCTGTTTTCAATTCTTTTGGATATAGACCATCATGGCAGAAGAGTGTAGTGGGGCTACTCAGCTCATGGCACTCAGGAAGCAAACAGGGGAAGAAAGCAGTCAGAGACAAGATATAGTCCCCCACGGTCCCCACAATGACATACTTCCTTCAACCATGCCAAGTGAAAATGCAAGAGGATGTGGTAATTCAACTTAACTTTTTGGGAACCACAACATGATTTTCCATGGTGGCTACATCACTTGACCTTCCCACCAGCAGTACATCGGGGTTCTAATTTCTTATGTCCTTACTGCCAAGAATGCAGTTCGCCGTCCTTATGGGTGTGAAGTGCTATATTTTCAATTTGCATTTCCTAATGACCTGGGGACACATTTTGAGAATGACTGCTAGAGTAACAGTGAGGATCCACTATCCCCTCAACAGTATTATTCACCACTTAACACTTTCACTCTGCCAATCCCTCTGCCTTGACTCACCCTCAGCTTCCTCTACTAACTTCCTTCCATCTGTTACAACCCACTTTGAATTTCTTCTCCAGAAAACCTTCTGGGAACCTCTAGATTAGGCAGGTAACCTAACAGAATGCCAGAGAGGCTCAGGAGAGTAAGGGATTGGACTAAAGGCAGTGGTTTAGTTGAAAATCTGTACTGAGAGCAATTAAATCCCAAGACCCCCTTTGCTACTGTAAACAGACAGGTGGCAATTATGCAGGATTCCCTTAGAGAGAGCTTGTCACTCCACTGCCAAGAACGCAGTTGGCTAACAGTCTCACCTTGCAATGCCTTCTGGATTCACCTTGGCTGTTGCTGAGCTTACTTGGCCATCAATGAGCACATCCAGGAGCCTGGCCCTTTCTGCCCAGTGGGGAGATTCTCCTACAAGTGATCTTACTCTGGAGCTCCCTGTTGGGTTAGCTGACATCCTGTCAGATCCGCACCACAGCTGGAGGCTTTCTCTACCAGCCCTTCTTCCTCTCCCTTCTCTTTACAGCTGTTAGGTCTGTACTGTGCCTCACAATTTCTCCTGCCCATTAAACATTCCCCCTTAAACTTCTTGTGCCCCTCTGTCTCAGTCCCTGCTTTCCAGAGGATCCAAATGACATAGTTGGTTCTGAGAGTGATCCAGCAGGGCAGCTGGTAAGACAGATTTGGAACTGAAACACTTCCTGCCTTGCTGGTCATGAGTACCATCCAGGGTGTGGGGAACGAACAGTCCCTTATGCAAAGCAGTCACCTCATCACTAAAACTCCCATGTATGGTGACTGGGGAGGATGTCCTGCCATGCCTGGTACAATAATTTGGGATTTTGAAAAGCTCAGGTGAACAAGTCATACAAGGATAATGGCATTGATTGGTCTTTAATATGCTGTACTAGTACCTACAGAAGGGAAAGGAAGGGAAGGAAAGGAAAAACTGAATGTAATTAACAAACAAGGGACAATTAAATGAGTACCTTATCACCTGAGGTAGAGAAAAGACAAAGTCCAAGACCAAACTCAGGACTTAATAGTTAAAAACTTCAGTCAAATCTTTAAAGACATCCACCCAGATATTTCCATGCACATGTCAGGGTCCTAAGTTTTCACAATCAGTGCCCTGACCTTAACTTGACAGCCTTGCCCCAACTGGCCACTCCGCTGGCCAAGATAGTAAATCAATAACAAAATTATATCTTGGAGATGATGAGGATGAGGTCACCCTTGAGGCTCTCAAGGATGCAGAGGTGGGTCCCCACCACATCTCTATTTAACTCATTTATCTGGTCCCCAATGAAAGTGGGTAGCCTGGAGAGCAACTGCAGACAACTGCCGGCTGAAACAAGTAGCAACTCCCCAGGTGGTTGTGGTGCCCACAGGGCATCTTCTTAGTGAGGATACATGGTATTCCACCAATGATTTGGTGAATGTGTACATTTCCATCTTGATCACAAAAGATAAGGAGACAGTTGCACTCAGTTTCACCTAAGGGCTGCATGAACTAGTTCTGTTTTCCTGGGAGACTTGAATTTTCTGAATATCCTGTAGAGTGTCACATGGCTCTATCACATTGATGGTATCAGGCTGACCAGGCAAGATTAAGAGGAAGAGGAGAGCACACTGGTGGCATTGATAATTCTCTTTCACCCTGATGATGATTCAGAAGCTTGCTATTTCAATAAAGTTTTTAGGAGTCTGATGATCAGGGTGTGCCAGGACATGCCCTCCAAAGTAAAAGTCAAATTGCCATTTCTGACATCCTCTTCCACAAAGAAGAAAGTGGTGCCCCGTAGTCTCTGAGGTTCTAGCAACAATACATACAATACATAGAGGGAAACTGCTCCAGCCCGTATCTCCAGTGACCCAAGGCGACAAGCTTTGAAATCTGTATTCTTGATAATCAGAGGGGTAAACTAGCTTTCTCTCACTTTCTCAGCCCAGTGTCCAGTCAGTTACTTTTCAAGTCAACTTACAGTCTTTAGGACAGAGTGATTAAATAATACATAATCAAGTATTTTAAAAATTTCCTCTAGAGCAAAATAAAAATATACATTACTTAAAATGTCTCATTCTACATTAAATATATTAAAATACTGGTAATTTCATAAATAAAATAATTATAAACAGTAAACATGTGATAAAAGTTCTCTGATACAGGTTACATAGGGGTCAACAACTGATTTTGAAAATACAAAAACTTTAAATTCTGTTTTAAAAAAGCATTTTACAAAATTATCCAAAGTTAAAAAGTGCTAGATATGCATTCATTTTGTTCCATTTTTAAAGCACAATATCACACCTTGAAAAAAAGCTGAATTACAGCATAATACTCATCCTACTTCTCCTATAAATAAAAACTTAAAAGACTTCTATCCACTGGTAAAGGCTGGGAGGCCAACTGAGTTCCAAGCCAGCCAAGGCTGCAATCCACCCAGCGCTGTTCAGGAGATTCCTTCCTGGCCCACCCCTAGATATATCTGTCTATGCCTACTACTTCCTAATTTCCAGAAGATGTTTTCTGAAAGAATTCTGACATTTAAATCCTGTGCCAATTGACAATCTTCCAAAGACTGAGGCACTCTGTATTTGAATTTAATACAAAAAGTGATGAATCTAATTCCAAATGAAAAGAGGGCACTTCATTTGGTCACTTGATTTCATACCATTTGTTGAGGTAGGATAATTTTCTTCTTCTCTGAAAAACAATGCCAAGTATATGAATGCTGGCTATACAGGAAAGGGTTCTAGTGCCTTTTCTGCATTCTTCCAGTTGTGAAAATTCTCTTTGTACCACTCAACTGGTAGGAAAAACAAAAGACAAAGATTAAAAAATGAAAAACTAAACATCAATTAATCAACAAACAACTGAGTTCCTGCTACGTAAGAAGTTTTGCTCATCAGTTGAGCAACAGACAAAGGCTGCAGGTACATTGACATAAGCTGATTTTGAACTTAATGAAGTTAGAAGACATTTTATTGGCTGAAAATATGAGAATTTAAAATCAACCCTTCATTTTCTTTTCTTTTTTTTTTCTACAATACTGAACCTGCTGACAACAACTGTTTAAGACATTTTAATTTTAAGGAATTTGAGGTGAGAGGGACAGGTCATTTGTACTGGTTTTACAAGTTATTTTATAAAAAAGTGTACTCTTTGGTCATATAAATATGGTAATACTGCATCAGAGGCAGAGTGAGATCAGTGAGCTTCCTTCTATTAATATATGAAATTATTTCATGCCATATTATGACAAGAAGCATTTTTTAAAAGTTAAAAGAAATCTAATAAAGTTTTCTTTGATTTTGCTTTTTAATATTCAATCCAAGTTTATTATATTTCAAGTTTTTTGTTGTTGTTGTTGTTCTTGTTGTTTTTACTGGGGATTGACCACGGACACTCTCTATCACTGACTTACATTCCCAATCCTTTATATTTTATGTTGAGACAGGGTCTTGCTTAGTTGTCCAGGCTGGCCTTGAACCTGCTATCCTCTTTCCTCAGCCTATGGGAACTGGAGTCATAGGTGTGTACCACCATGCCTTGCTATTTGCTATTTAAAAAAAAAATTATTTGTTCTTTTTAGTTCATAACAGTACAATGTATTTTGACATATCATACATACATGGAGTATAAACTTCCCATTCTTGTGGTTATATATGAAGTGGAGTTACACTGGTCATGTATTTATGTATGAACATAGGATCACATTCTTTTTTTTTAATATTTTTTTAGCTATAGATGGATATGATACCTTTATTTAATTTATTTTTATGTGGTGCTCAGGATTGAACCCAGGGCTTCACACATGCAAGGTGAGCACTCTACCACTGAGCCACAACCCAGCCCAGCATCATGTTCTTAATAAAGACTTTTTTCTACATTGGATAGATCTTTTTTCATGAGTACATTTCTAAATAGACTTTTAACACATACAGATTTTCTATTTATTTTAATAGATTTTTCTGCATATCTGAATTTGTTTTGTATTTGTTTGTTTCAATATAAAATGACTCAAGACACTCAAGGATTACAAATCTAAAATGCCAATGACCATACTAGATGGATACTTATTTAAAATATTACTAAGAGAAAGAAAGCTGCAATAATAATCATAAGACATCAGCAATTATAAAACAAATACCTATCACAGATATGAAGAAAGAAAAATTGTGTATTTCAGAATCAATTAAATAGGTATTTGATTAATGATAAGAGAAAGAAAGACTTATAAGTTAATTATGAAATTCAAAATGCTCAGGAAACAGTAGTGTTGTTAGAGAAGTATATTAAATGTTACAATTTGAAGAGTGCACATGATCCATCACAATATTCTGCTGAATTTGTATGGTGTTCTAAAAATGCATCACTTTTCCTTTTAATTTTTCTGAATTGCCCCCCAAATATCCAGTTATAACATACTTGTTTTCTTTATTCCTTCATTCCAAGGCACTTTAGGTTTCCATCCTAATCCATGAATTTTTTCTGACTTCATTGGATATCTCATATCATTGGTAGGTCTTAGAAAAGCAAAAGAGATTTAAAATAACATTGTAGCTAAATATTTACAAATTTAAATATTAAGAGAGATAATATGTTTTCATGCATCTTTACCATAATTAAAGTTTAGAATAATTCCTTCTAATGATATGCTTATTGTAGAAAATTTGTTATTAAAAAAACCATAATCCCCAACACTTAACCCTCTCTGTGGTTTAGACTTTTTGTGATTTATTTCAGCCACAATTTAATTCCAGTGCCTAGCACACAGAAGGAACTTATGAAATGTGTGATGAATGAAAAAATAAATGCATACATTTATGTGCCAGGCTCTGATCCAAGTATTTTATATACATAATTAAACCTTAAAATACCATTATAAGTAAGATAATATTATCCCTATTTCACAATGAAAGACACCTCAGACTTGGATAACTTCTTTAAGTCACATAGCTAGTAACAGTGCTGTGCCTAATCTGTGTAACACTTAAAATCAGGAAAAAAATATTTTACCAGAAAATTCAAAACAGATAAACTAGTTCTCAGTTAAGCCCATATAATTTATAATACCTAAGATTTCACAACCTTTTCCCAATGTTTTAACTTGTTACTCACCTATCATTAACATAATCAACCCAATTTTCCATTTCAGACTCTGAATTGGTCTCTTTGATCTGTCAAAATGCAGAAAGCTATTGAGTCAAATTATAAAATGAGACTAGAGAATAACAATGGTATTTAATAGCTGATTAAAAAGACAAGAAAAACAATTGCCTCAAAACAGGGGAGACAGCAAAAATACTTTTAATACTTTACATATGCTTCCTATACTTCATAACCTAAATTTTACCTGAAGTTCAAAAATAATACACATTGTATGAACCATGGGAGAAAACAAGTTTTCCTGACCTTTAGTTATTACTTGGTATTACTTGGTTCCCCTCTCTACTAAACTCTATAATTTATAATTGATATTGCCTCACATATATGTATATTCATAACCATAGCTATTTTACATATCAGTATTCTTTGGTTCTAAGACACAGTCTATATTTACAAAATTGAGGTATCTTACAATTAGGGCAGGTACATTTAATGAATTATCTTTTTTTCAAAAAAATGTTACTAAATGAATGCTAGAGCTTCAAGTGAAGACATATATGGGATACCTATAATCATGAATTTCATTTTCCCTTTACTCACTTAAAAATTAAATCAACTGTAAACTACTACTGACTAAATTAGTGATTAGTTACAGTTGTGTAAACACCACCTTTTTACAAAAGATACGTACCAGTTGTATTAGTTCTTTGGCGAGCTGGACAACTGACATTTCAAAATTGGTTCCAATGTTGTAAATTTCACCTGGTTTTCCCTTTTTGAGGACAGTAAGAAATGCTTCTACTACATCAGTAGCATAAAGGAAATTTCTTGTTTGAAGCCCTGATCCATGAATGCAGCTGAACAGATTAAATGAAGCAGAATCATCAAATGTAAAAATGTAAGCGCTCCTAAACAGGATAAAACACTGGGAACAAGTAAAGAGAAGACAATTCCCACAGAGAGCCTGGAAACCTTTTACTGAAAACACAAAAATATGAATAGCTCTTTAAAAATTTTTTTCTAGTACATGGACACAATGCTTTTATTTTATTTTTATGTGGTGCCGGGGATCAAACCCAGTGCCTCACATGTGCCAGGCAAGTACTCTGCCAACTGAGCCACAATCCAAGCCCAGCTCTTTTAAATTTTAACCTTAGTTCTTCAATGATGTCCAAAGCATCTGAGGTTATTCAATAAAAAATCAGCAAACATGGGCCCATGATAAATATTTGTCAATTTTATACCACAAGTTCATTTTAAAGAAATGTCTACAGTTCTATATAAATTAATCCTTTGAAAAAGTAAAATTATGTAAAGACAGATACCAAATTTTAATGCTATGGCTCAAAGATCTATAATAAGCCATTTAAAAACAAATTATTTTAGTAAATTATGGAAATGAATTACAGCTTATAATTATTCAAATGAAGAAGGAACTCTTAAATTTGGTGGGACATTCAACTCATGGCCTCCAACTCTAAGACTGATTTTCAAGAGAGACTGTTACCAAATACTATCAACATATCAGAAAAGCATACAGGTACAAAGGTAAACAACATACCATTTCCTGTTGTGTTGCAGTAGAGAGATAAATTTTGGAATGACCTAAAAGAATATTTAAGATTCATTTTAAACATCAAATATTCACTCATTAATATGAATCTGAACTCATGATATATTAAAAATCATTATTAGAAAACTATACATATGGAAAAAATTGAATTTTACCAGGAACTCATGAAAAAAACCTAAATACTCAATAAGTGAGAGAACTCCAAGATAGCTTGCTATTTCACAAAAAGCAGTTCTCTGAAGATAAAATTATATCAACAGTGGAAGAATCCGAGAAAGTCTTCATGGACAGTTTTCTGTCATCATAAAGCTCACTTCTGTGTTGATTTCTAAAGAGCAGGAATTGAATCTTATTTATCACTTTACATGTAACCACTCACTCAATAAGTGCTTGTGGGATTTATAAAAAATTACAGTATCCTTGAATTCAAAAGAAAACTTATGTTAAACGTGGCAAGCAAGAAATTACTAAATTTATATTAAACTTGATAAGGATACTCCAAAAATTAAGCAATATGAATATGAATACCAGCACACCACGAAATGGCCCTTTTCTTTGGGCAAACAGATCAAAACAACCAGCTTGGAAGCGAGAAAACCCAGACTCCAAATTTAGGCATAGCAGGCAACAGTTACCTAAAAGCAGGCTTAATGACACAGAACCAACTGCACAGGGATTCCCAGCCTTTTAGCACATTTCTTTATTCACTACTTATTACTTTCTGGAAGACATTCAGGCACACCACAATCAAAAAGAATTGGGAGCTGGGCACAGTGGTGCTCACCACTTGTGATCACAGCACTGCCCAGAAGGCTGAGGCAGGATGGCATGTTCAAGCCAGCCTAGGACAGTTAGTGAGACCCTGTCTCAAAATTAAAAATAAAATGGTCTGGGGATATAGCACAGATGGTAAAGGGGCCTGGGTTCAATACTCAGTTCTGGAAAGAAAAAAAAAAAAGAGCTGGGGCACAGTTAACCCAATGATATAATACAAATTTACCTACAAGTGTCCTGCATCAATAATTAGCTTTCAACTTTCCATACATCCTGACATAATGGGGTGATTGCAAACTGGGAGCCTTAACTGCAGCATGGTGGCTGCAGTGGGAAAATTCTGTAGTACTTCAGAGTCCTAGGAAGTACAGGGTATTTTCATATATATCACCTGAATCCTTCAAAATCCTGAGCATTTTCATTATCCCTCAATTTAAAGACAATGCTCAAAGAGCCTTAGGTCATGGCAGCTGGAGAGCATCAAGTTGATACTTAAATTCAAGTCTTCAAACTCAAGTCTGAGAAGATTTGCCTAATTCTGTGGCCTGTGCAGAATAATTATGTATAATTACAGCATAAATTTTTTGGACAAAAAATGATGAGAAGATATTTTAAACAAAGAAAAATTGCAATCACTAAAACAACCACCATGAATTCGGAATAAAATTACCTTTTCTGGATATTGATGTGGTCCATAAACATTACTGCTCCTTGTGATGACAACTGGAAACTTAAAGAATATTCAACATTAAGGCAATTATAATAGTGATTATTAGAAAGCTACACAGAATTTTTAAAAAGAAGCACCTTTGCTTAAATAATTCCACATGTCATGAAGACAGAACAAAGAGACTGTTTCTAACCTACGGTTCTTAGAAAGGCAGGAGAGGATAAGGTTCCAATAAGAGCAAAGGGTCCAAAAGGGGGATGAAGACAATTCTCCTCATTGGGACAGGGGAGAATGGGCACAGATGGAGGCGGGTTTGTAATTCTGCCAGCAGAATACTGAGGACTCTTCCATCTGACCATTTCAAGAACCAACTCTAGGACTCTAAGCTTAGCTAGATGGTAACCAAGTTGGCTCTCTCCACTGTATCAACCCTTTAGAGCTACCACAAAAGGGAAGAGGACCAATGCTACTAAAACATAAAAAGCAAGAGGATCTTGAATGCCTTTCTGATCTAGCCCCTAACAACTCAAAGATCAGTGTGAAGTCAAAGATACGGGCCTCAAGATAATGATCCTACTGGCTAAGGCTCCCACAGCAACACTGTCAGAGCACCAGAGGAAGGTCTATCTCCCATTCATGAGAAACCAAGAGTGCTGAACCATGCAGAGAAGTATGTGGCAGGGAAGAGAATCTATCCTTCCTCTCTCTGTCTTCCTCTACTCATGGGCTTCCAACAGGGCCTTCACTATACCTGTAACACTCTACTTATTACTGAAATAGGAAAAAATATATATTCAAACTATTCCTTTAATAATGAACTGAACAAGAAAAGTTAAGTCATATCTTGGCCACACAATATAAAAATCAATTAATCTTGGGCTGGGGATATAGCTCAGTTGGTTGAGTGCTTGCCTAGAATGCACAAGGTCCTGGTTTCAATCCCCAGCACCACACACACACACACACACACACACACACAAATCAATTATCTTACATTCCTTAGTACTACATTTTCTCAAGCTGTCTTCTACCCGATAACTAAAATGCTGCTAGAGTTGAGTTGGAATTTTAACACTTGAGTCCAAGATAAAATGGTACAAGAGTTTCTGCAATCAGTTCTTACCTTGTATCGTTCCCAGTAAGACTGTACAAAACACTCAGCAGCTGCTTTGGATGATGCGTAAGGATTTGTAGGTTGTTTGGGTGATGATTCATCAAATTCCTAATGTTAAAAAGATATATTAAAAAAATAAGTACTACATATACTTTCTAAGTAGAAAACATATTACAAACTTGAACTTGAATTGTTTACTATAGCATTTAAAAAAAAAACACCGTTTCTTGAACACTGTGTATCTGAATCTTTACATGCACCCACAGTAACTTCTTTAGTGATCACAAAAACCCTGTAAGGCAGGCAGAGAGAAGAACAAGTACAAAAGCTTTAAGATAGAAGAATGTCCAAAGGACCTGCAGGAAAGCTGCTGTTCAGGAAGAGAGATGGGAGATGAGCTCAGAGAGCTGGACGGAAGGCAGAATGGTACCCTGGACCCTGGAAGGTCACTGTGAAAACACTGACAGATTTTGAACAGAATAACGCCATGACCTGATTTCTATTTTAAGAATCATTTGGGCTACTGTGCCAGATCTGATAGAGAGTGGAAAGGGAATTAGAAGGAAGAAGTTTGATAAAAACTGCAGAGAGTTGAAAGTGGCTACTTCTCAGAGGACTAGGGATCCACAAGTGGTCAGGGTCTCCTTTTTCTCACTAGAGGTCTTTTTAAACTTTTGACTTTTTTTTCAGTGTGTGTGTGTTTTGGTTTAAAAAAAAAAAAAAAAAAAAAAAAATATATATATATATATATATATATATATACACATATATACTGTTTTAACCAAAACACACATATGTGAGTGTGTGTGTGGGGTGTGTGTGTGTGTTTGTGTATATAGACAAAATGAGTTCCCTATAAAAACTGACTGTAAAAAACAGAGCTTTCTGCCCATGGATGCCATTAAGTAAGCACTATTAAGTCTCTCTTCTCATGAAGCCACGTCTAAGTCACAGTCTCCTGGAGATCACTGGAGGCCTGCACTTTTGAAACAACCTATGGGAGTTGGAGGAGCCATTCTGAACAACGTGGAACACTCAGACTGTGTGGTAATGAGAGATACAAACACCACACACTCCAGGGGCTCTGGGCTTGCCACTTACTCCTCTGTGGAGGAGGTGGGTGCAGCCATGAATGTGAGGCCATACAAAAGAGATGGGATTGTGGAACCTTAGAAAGCTGTCTCAAGGGAAGATTCTCCAAGGCCAGGAGCCCACATGACTGTGGAAAAGATCTTTGTGGGCAGCATTATAAAAGACACTGAAGAACATGACCTAAGAGATAACTTTGAACAACGTGGGAAAACTGAAGCAACTGAAATCAGGACTGACTGAGGCAATGGCTAGAAAAAGCGCTTTGCTTTGATAACCTCTGGCAGGCACGTCTGTGAGTCAGTCTGTCACTGAGAAATACTCCTCCGGGAATGGACACTCCGAGGGGAGGAAAGCCCTTTGGAAACGGGATGGCTACTGCTTCATCAAGCCAAGAGGCTGAAGTGGATCTGGAAACTCTGGTGGTGGCCATGGAAATCATTTTCGTGGTAGTTACAACACTGGTCATGGAGGAAAATTCAGTGGTCATGGTGACTTTTACAGTAGCCATGGTGGTGGCAAATATTGTTGTAGTGGGGATATCTACATGGATCTGGTAAAGACAGAAGCAATTCTGGAGGTAGTGGGAGCGACAATGATTTTGGCAAATGCAACAATCAATCTTCAAATTTGGGATCTAAGAAGGGAGGAAACTTTGTCATTTTGAAAAAGGTCTCCCAGACACTTTTTTAAAAATATTTTTTATACCTTTATTTTATTTATTTTTATGTGGTGCTGAGGATCACACCTAGTGCCTTACACGTGCTAGGTGAGCATTCTACCGCTGAGCCACAACCCCAGCCCTCTCCCAGACACTTCAGATCTGGGGACCTGTGGAGTGGCATCAGCCAGCTGCTGTTTCTACTCCTGGCAGGGCGTAGAACTTGCACTGTGATAGAAACATTCAATATTATCACCCATTGTAACAGTCAATACTTTGTCAAACCATAAACCCAAGGTGGCCATGAGGTTCCAGCAGCAGCAGGAGCTGTGGTGGTGACAGAATATTTTACTGCCTGCCAGAAAACAAAGCTTAGTAGGAGAGGAGAGCCAGAGAAGGGACAGGGAAGCTGCAGGTTACAGCAGATCTGTGAACTCAAGTAAAGCACAGTGCTGGCAGGGCCTAGTTACTACAAAGATATGTTTAGATAATCCTCATGTATAGGGAAAAAAACCTGAGAACTCTGTAACAGGTTATTTTAGTTTCTGTTTTATGGAAAATGTGAAGCATTCCAACCCAAGGTTTTAATGTGGCTTTTCTTTTTCGTTGTATCCACGCTGACTGCTAAATGTAATGAGTGTGTCTTTTAACCGCACTGTGTAAAGTTAGTCTACTTTGAAGCCGTTTTGGTAAACTTCCCCAACAGTGTGAAATAAGAATTCCTTCAGGGTGATGCCAGATTTCATTTAAAATTAATTTACAATCTGCTTGGTGGAGAAGTCACTGCCTCTAGAAATCTTGGTGTAGTTGAACTGATAGTAACTGTTGGGACATTCTGCAGTTCACCAGCGTAAGGGTCACCCAAGCAAAATCAGAGAATTATTTGATGGTAAAAAGAATTGTGGGCACATCCTATGCAATATATCTAAATTAAATAATGGCACTAGATAAGTGACTCATGGGAATGATGCTTTTGTCTCCTCCGTTATAATGTATAATCAACAAATAATTTAAGTCTCTTGAATGAAATGACAACATTTGGAACTGGAAGAGATTTGGACTTTCCTTACCCCCTATCCAGATAATGCTGAATGCTTCTATCACAATGCAAGTTCAAAGCTTTGCCAGAGTAGAAACCAGTAGCAGTCTGATGACCCCTCACAGGTCTAAAGATTAGAAGCATCTGAGACACCTTTTTTAAAATGATAAGTACTAGAAAAAATTCAACTAACATAAAAATAGGCTTACCATAAAGGAAAACTACAGTTTTTACTGGGTAAGGTTAGGTGGGTCTTTAGAGGTTTATAGGTCAGCCACAGTAGTTATTTGGAGATTAAAACTATAGAAATATGAGGAACTACATTTTTTCCACATAATTTCATGTTACCTGCAGTTTTCCTTTAAATATGGCACAAGATCACACAATCATCCTCAAGTGTCAATTGTACAGAGAATGACCTTTAAAAGAGTTAATAACCCTTAACAGTTAATATCCAATAATTGTTACTTGTACATATTCTTTTGAGATTTCCCTTTGGTACCTTCCTAATTTCAGTGCCACTGTATCTAGTAGCATAGATATTTATCTCCCAAAAAACAAGAGAAAAGAAAAAATATATAAATTGTGGAGAATGGAGTCATCTTTTGGTGCAAAAAAGTATAATATTTAGAAATGATAAAAAATAGATTCCACTTTCTACAATAATTTTACACTTGCCCCTGGATATTCCAATGTATTTGCCGATTGGCAGAGAATGGTACATAGGAGCCTGCTGCAGCCTATCATACTCCTGCTTCGGTCTGTCCACTCTGAAGCCATCTTGGTAAACTTACATGTTTGTGATGTTGAGACAAAAAATGTTATATTTGCTGCTGTCTTGTAATCTGTCAGGCAAATCATGAATAAATCTATAGAAAACTAGGCTTTTCTCAATTTAGGATGGCATTTGATTTGAACAGAAGAGACCATGGCATAAAATTCTGGAGAGTGAGGATGAGAAGAGTGCAGGACAGGTTTAATAAGATGGATCTGCACCATGGTACATGATAAGTAAACAGATGGTGTAGATTTTCTAAGGTAAACTTAGAAAAGGTAAATTATTTACCTTATCGAGACTGCCTCCATATACTTCATCTGTGCTGACGTAAATAAACTTCTCCACTCTGGCTTCATGAGCAGCACTTACCAAAACGTGAGTGCCATAAACATTAACGTAGGTAAACTCAAAGGCCCGGACAAATGACAAATCTAAAAGAAGAGAAAAAAACTAGAACAATTTCACCCAAGGACAAAACAAATACTAAACAATCAATTCCAATTTGTTTGTTTTTTTTAATTTTTAAATTTTAGTTGTAGATGAACACAAACTTTTATTTTACTTATTTATTTTTATGAAATGCTGAGGATGGAACCCAGTGTTTCACACGTGCTAGGCAAGCCCTCTACCACTGAGCTACATCCCTAGTCCCTCAATTCTAGTTTTAAGAGAGTACTATTCCCTTCTCTTTACTCATCATAATTAAATAATTTTGGAAATAACATATATATGCATTGATATTTATTTCTGTAAGTCTATATTATATAGTATGTATAATTTTTTTAGAACCTAGAAAAAAATCTGTTAAATTTTCAAAAAAACATTTTATCCTAAAAAGAAGGAAACACAAAATGATGCATCTAAATTTAAAAATTCAAGTATTCAAATTTTTAAAATTTTTGAAACTTCCAGTTTCTACAATTTGAGGGCTATGCATTTCAGAGCAACTTATTACTGATAAAAACAGTAAATGTTGAATAAATCATCTTCTTTACCAGGGAATGGGGTAACTTCCCTAACTATGACTCACAATTCACAAACAATAAGGGAAGAGATTAATAAATTTTACCTTGTAAAAAATCTTTCATTGTCAACCCCTGCCCCCCTCCAAAAAAAAAAAAAAAACTAGACTAAAAACAAAATAAAAAAGACAAACTTGGAAAAACATTTGAAATTACTAGAGACAAAACATTAATATATTCAACCTATAAATACCTTGTAGAACTAAATAAAAATAATCCTACAGTAAAATGGATACAAAATAGTTTAGATATAAAAATATAAATAGTCCTTAAGTTTATGATACTCGACCTCATTTATAATAAGGAAAACCCAAGTTTCAAACTCACAGAATGCCACTTACAACTTATCACAATGACAAAAAATCAAAGATTTGACAAAATGTTTTGTTGCTGAGGCTTTGTGGCATGTGGGGGAGACTTAATTCTGCACACTGGGAATGAGTATGCAAAATGCTTACAACCCTAAGGAAGGAAATTTGGCAATTTCTAACCAAATTAATATGCATTTATCCCCCAACCCAAAGATATAAACTGAACTGTTACATAAAATGTATAGTGACACCTGACCTCCCTATACCTGGCCAGTATTTCAGAATGTGAGTATATTTGGAGTTAGGGCCCTTAAAGATGTGATTAAGTTAAAATGAGGCCTTGAAGGTGAACCCCAGTCCAATCTACCTAGTGTAGAGGAATCTGGACCTAAAAAGAGATGCCAGGAATGCACACAGAGGAAAGGTCCTGTGAGCACAGAGCAAATGCAAAGGAGCTGTAAGCCCAACAGGTGGCCTCAGAGGAAATCAAGCCTGGCAACACCTTGACCTTGGACTCCCAGGCCCCAGAATGGGGACAAATAAATTTGTTCTCTAAGCCCTCAGTCTGTGGTACTTTGTTCTGGCAATTCTAGAAGATTAATGCTCCCAGCAGTTCAACTTCTAAGCATATCTTCCCAACATCAGTTAAAAATATACAAAAAGACACAGGTACAAAGCCATCTACTCCAGCATTATTTAAAACAGTGGGAAGTAAACTTAACCACTGTACATATAGACTGATGTCCTAGATATACTGTCAAATAAAAAAGGCAAGAGGGAGAGAGCTGTATGTTAGAGATTATCACTTCTCTAAAAGGAGCACAGAATATCAATTCTTTTAAAAGAAAGAATAAACTAAAATGTATATAAAGTGTTCTACAGGGGAGAGTTGAACATAGAAGAAGAGCAGGGACCAAAGACAGACTTATAAATATTCCTTATATGGTAGATTTGACTTTGGAACTATTTTATATTTTTAATAACTGAAAAACAATTAAAAAGAAAGTAATTCTAAAACTCAAAAACAAGATGGAAAATATGAATCAAACAATGAATTTACTTAGTTACATAGCCATGCTTTGAGTAACCTATAAAACAAAATAGTGGGAAACTACTAAGAACAAAAGAAAACAAAACAAAAAAAACCTTTGTCATTGCAGATAATGGTGCTATTGTTATTCTTATATTGTTGTGTTATGGGATTTTAAAAAAATGACAAATGAATGCAGTGGTAGACAGCTGCACTCCCAGAAACTCTGGAGGCTGAGACAGGAGGATTGCAAATTGAAGACCAGCTTCAGCAACTTAATGAGATCCTACTTCAAAATATAAAATAAAAATGGCCTGGGATATAGCTTAGGGATAAGCATCCCTAGGTTCAATCCCCAGTACCAAGAAATGGGAAATAGAAAAGAAAATGAGAAATTATTGTGGTGCTAATGAGAACCAAGGTATTCAGGATAAGGGAAAGAAAATATAAGACCCATGGGGTTAATAACAACTTTGAGTTAGGCACTCATGCGTTGTGAACTCATGATGTATTTTATCTTAAATAGGCAAATAAATAAATATTCCTTAGCTCTGAAGTTGACTGAAAAAGCCTAGAAACAATGTCCAATTGGTAACAGTGAACATACCCAGACTGAGACCTGTAACTACTATTTCCCACTAAAAGGAACCTCAGTCCTTAGAAGAAGGGTTGTTTCCGGATCCTTAGAAGAAACCTTGAAGATAAACCTAGAACATCCTGCTACACCAGAGAATAAGATGGCAACAAAGACTACTAAGGGCCCAGGAAGCAACTCTGGCTCTCTGTGGCTAGTAGTGGGTCAATTTGAATATAAACTGAAACTGATTAAAACAAAGAATCAAATGTGTTCAACTCTATGAATTCATAATTATACAAAAAAAAAGAAAAAAGAAAAGAAAAGAAAAAAGAAAGTAAGAGAGTGGTAGAAAACCAAGTCAAATAAAGCTTACCACATAAACAAAAAAGTATCAAGCAGTTAACCTGGCTTTTCAGTATCACTTAAATCATCCTAATAATTTATGTGGAAAACCTACTTGTACGTAGATATTCCATATATAATGAAAAATAAATTACATAATTTGAATATTATCTATAAGCCTCTAAAAATGAATATTGATAAAACAAAACAGTAATACTGACTACACAAAATAGTAGGAATAAATATGTAATGGGATTGAAAAACAAAATAAGATAGACTTAAAATTCTAGATAAATACAGTTGGGAATAAATAAATGGTGTTAAAATGCATTACCTGGGAGGAGGGCAAAGGTTTTATGGACTTTACACTTGAATAAGCTAATTATTCATGTGTAATTCCTAAGGTAACCACTCAAAGAATACAAAGAATATATATCTTCCAAAGTAGTAGAGGGAGAAAAAGAGAACAATTTCTTAGTTAAGTCCTTTAAAAAGCAAGCAAGAGAATGAATATCAAGGATGTTCAAAGTAATTAAAATAAAAACCATGATCCAAATACACATTGTTTTTAAGAAACAGATAAGCCATAAAGCCAGAAGGGTTGAAAAAAGAGAATGGAGAGGCTGGGGATGTGGCTCAAGCGGTAGCGCGCTCGCCTGGCGTGCGTGCAAGCGTGTGGCCCGGGTTCGATCCTCAGCACCACACACAAACAAAGATGTTGTGTCTGCCGAAAACTAAAAAATAAATATTAAAATTCTCTCTCTCTCTATTCTAATAAAAAAAAAAAAGCTTCCAATTATTAAAAAAAAAGAAAAAAGAGAATGGAAAAAGACATGTGATGTATAATTATAATGCACTAATAAAAAAAGATACACAAGAAAGTGACACAGTCACATCAATGTCAAATGAAATGGACTTCAAAGTGTATACATCATCTAAGAAAATGACTTCCTAAATAAATGGTTCAGGGGCAGGGGTGTAGCTCAGTGGTAGAGCACCTGCCTCACATGTGAGGCACTGCATTCAATCCTCAGCACCATATAAAAATAAATAAATAAAGATATTGTGTCCATCTACAACTAAAAGAAATATATTTTAAAAAAAAAAAAGATAAATGGTTCAACCACCCAAAATGATTACTAATTCTGGAAACATCTCTTTCAATGAGGAAAAAGATAAACCACAAAATTAAAAACTGGACAAAAGATTTCAACAGCATTTCACAGAAGAAATCCTAATTACCAAAAAACATAAAAAATACTCAAATTTATTAGCAATTAGGGAAAATACAAATTTAAAATATAATAAAAGGCAAATCACACATTGCTGAGATTGGAAATAATGGAAAAATCTGACAAAACTAAGTTTTGGTGAGATCTAGAGCAACAGGAAGTTACATATTACTGGAGGAGTAGAAATTAATATACTCTGGAAAATAGTTTGATATCTTTATGTTGAAACAGACAAATCTTATGATCCTAATTATGTATCAGAATGTGTACATATGTGTACCATGACACATGCGTAAGAATGCTCACAGTAGTACTGTTCAAAATTGCCCTAAAGCATAAACAACCCAAATTTCTGTCAGGAGTGAAATATCTAAGTAAACTGTGCCAATTCTTAAATTAGAATGTTATACAGTACTGAAAACGAACAAACTGTACCTATACCCAAATGGATAGAAGAAAGACAAAAAAATCTACATATCACCTTATATGTTTTTTAAATAAAATTTAAAAAGCCAAAACTTATAATGCTTAGGGAAAATAATATAAATAGAAAAACTACAGAGAAAAGCAATGGAAATAAATCAGACAGCAGGCAATAGCAGTGCACTTCCAAAGAGGATCTGACAACACTCTGATTTTTGTTTGGATGATGGCTATATGGGTGTTCACATTACCATTATTTATTTCACTTCTAAATTCTTTTGAATATATGTTGTATTCGATATAACAATATCAGAAAATTATTAGAAAATATCTCAAATGCATAAAACAGTACAAATAACAACATAATATTCATTGTGTATCTACCACCCAATTTAAGAAAAACAACATAAAAATTACGGCTGAAGACCCATTTCCTCATTCCTACCTTTCACAAATAATTACTAGTTTGAATTTGGTTCCACTCAAAAGTTTTAAGATCTATTCAGGGTTATATTTCAACCCACACTAATAAAAGTGATCTAAAAAGTGCCAAGTATATCAATGACAGAGCAAATATCTTGTTTTTATGGTGTAGCATGTATATCTTCTTTCAAAGATGTGTATTAGATAACCATTTATTTAGTTTTACTTCTGGACTTTGGATTTAGTCTAGTTAGCCACAAGAGGAAAAAGAAATGCCAGTCACAACTAGAGCATAAGACAACGCTTACCTACATGTGTTTGTGCAGCAAAATGTAGTACTATATCTATTTTCTCTGTTTCAAAAAGCAGTTTCACAAAATGAGAATCACAAATGTCACCCTATATGAGAAAGCAAACATGAAAACACTAGGTTTCTCTGAGCACTGTCATCATCAAAACCATTTTTGCTATAACACACACCATCTCCCACTTCCCAGTTCAATAGAGAATATCTTGAACATTCAACCACATGGTCAGACAAGTACAGTAATGATGTATTTCTCCAGATATTCGATTCAAAGCATTTTTTGCAAATAAGTATAAAACAATATTTTATTGACCACCCAAATACTTTTACATTTTTTCATTATATTCTTGACAACCTAAGATTAGTATATTAAAAAGGAAAATAGTATTAAAAATTCTGAAAGAACCATTACTGAAATATGTCTAAAGTAAGTATAACAACTAGAATGAACATTGGAAAATTATAGTAAAGTTATGGTTTAATTATTCTAAAAATACATATTCTCAAAAAACCTTTAGTAACTGAAGAAAATACTTTTACATAGAACAGAATTATGAACTAATTGCTCAGTATATTTTTGTGGTTTTGTGGTTAAAAGAGAGTTTGTAAAATCACTTTTTTTTAAAAAAATTAACTTTTAGTTGTAGTTGGACACAATATCTTTATTTATTTATTTTATGTGGTACTGAGGATCGAACCCAGGGCCTCGCCCATGCTAGGTGAGTGCTCTACCCTGAGCCACAACCTCAGCCCCTGTAAAATCATTTTTAAAAGAAAAGAACATAAAATCACAACATAGTTTCATTGGAAAGTAACATTTCCCTTTGCAAATGAAGGATCTGCTCTGGTTTATACTTGGGACTTGTCTAAGAGTGGTGAGTTAAGAATCAGCCTTCTAGAGGCCATGTGCCCTCATGGGGAGAGACTATCCCATGTGCTTCATGGTCTGGCTAGCCTTTCAGGAGGACACCACACTTCACACCAACCACTCTGAATCCCAGGTAGGCACTATTAAACAGGCTAGTGAGGACTTAAAATTAAAAACCACACAAATTCATCCAGCTACTCATAGATTTTCTAAGGTATCAAAAATGACATGCAATTTTTTATGTGGTATATCTAAAAGTAGAATTCTCTAGAGCATGTGGTACTTCTGGAAATTAACTATTTGGTCTTTTAAAAGGCCTTTAGTAAGTGTGCCTGCCAAGCCCTTTACACACAAGTTTGTAAGTAGGAAGTTATTATAATCTCAATATGACTAAAGAGGCACAGTTCAATAATTATAAGAAGACTTCCATACCTTTATGAATTTGTAGTTTTGTTTGTTAGAAATGGTTTCAAGATTCTTTAAGCTTGCACAGTAATCCAGCTTAAAAAGAGAGGATGGTCAGGGGCAACACAAAAAGTGATAATATTAGCTCTTCCTATAAAATACCAAATTATTTTTAAAACTATAGATGTCAATGATTGTAATACAAGAACATATTCTCTTCAAGTGTGTTTCCTCTGTGCTTTTACATATTCTAAGCTTCTGACATACATTGATCGAGGTGCTAGAGAACCAAATCCTACGCCTTATGCATGCTAGGCAAGCACTTTACAACTAAGCTATATCCCCATCCCAGCTTCTGACATCTTACAAGTAAAAACTAAACAAAAAACAAACAAACAAAAACAAGTAATTGTGATACCTTTTCAAAATACCAGACTCCAAAAAAAAGCCTTTTTATAAATGTGTACTTTAAAATATGTTCCTACCCAAATTTGCCTGTGGCCACTGGTATTTAAAAAAGTTTACTACTCCTGACAGAAAAGTTACTAGTAATCAAAAATGATGCCTGTTTTATACATACTACAGTTCATTATACCTGGTCCTGAGTTCCTGAGTTAACTGTTGGTAAATCTCAGTGTACAGATGAGGAAAAAAAGAATTCTTGTTCACTAGTAATGCAGTAAAAAAAATCCTAAGAGTTAAGGGTTATTCTTTATCTGTACTTCTTAACTATTGGGTTTTAGGAAATTAAGGTAACCATTTGTATCTGTGCCATTTGTATTTGCTCAGATTCAAAAAATCTATGATTTCCAACTAGGGCTTCAGATTCTTTAAGGAAACTCCAATTATTACTGCAGAATTCTCAACAAAATCAAATTAATTTAACTGAATTTTATTTTGTAAAATAAACATGTACAATTTTCTAGGTGATGATAATTATAAAACCAAATAGTTAATTAAATCAAATAAAGCATGTCAACACCAAGAAAAAACTGGTAGTCACATTTTACGAAATACTTAATTTAGAAAGAGTGAAGGTTTTCTTCTGGCAAAAATACTGCACATAAGGGCTGAGAATGTGGCTCAGTGATAGAGCACTTGCCTAGCATGCATGGGGTCCTTGGGTTTGATCCCAAGTACAAAAAAAAAAAAAAAAACACAAAACTTTGACTTCATGCCTTAGCATAATAAGTAAAAGTTTCCAAAGATTCTGCATAAGATTTAACGCAGCATGAGCACATGACCATACAGACCCCCAAGCAGCTAAAGACTAAATAAAAAACTAACAGGATTCTGGTACTTTAAATTGAAATGTAATTTCAGTGCATGAAGCTTATTTTTATGAAACTCACCTTGTCTAGATTTATGATCATATAATTTGGATAATCTTCTACTAAAGAGACAATCACATGTGATGCACTATAAGGAAAAAAAACATCTTGTGAGTGGAAAATGTCAACCCCTTTAGACTCTTGAATATTTTCTTATGCTGTTGACTATTATGAAAATAATCAAAGATAACTTTAAATGTTTCCAAGAAAACAGAAACAACACCATTATACACACATGCACACTTTTCACCAACAACATCTATAAACTAAATCTTATGCTCCCTTTATGCTATGTAGAATAGAGAATTTAGTGTTTCTGGATATAAAGAAAAAAAATCGGTTTCTGCCAGCCGCGCAAGCACCGCACTCAGGGCTGAATTCTGGGTTCGAGACGGGGAAGGAAGCGGTCCATCTCGGTTCTCCACACCGGTCAGACCACAGAGGAGGCCAGCAGCCACCATGTTGGTAAACTGACGTCACCACACCTGTTTTTGACTGACCGCAGCTCATTCAGCCATAGAACAGGTAATTTCAGGCTGCAATTCGCCTGCGGCTTGCAGACAGATTGCTAGGGTTCAGCGCCTGGGGGCTTCTTAAAATCTGATCTTATCGGAGTGAACACCGAGCGCGGGGCGGCCGAGTTCCGGCTCCCGGAACCGTCCCGGAACCGCCCTGGCTCCAGGCTGCGGAGCCTGCGGAGGCTGCTTCTTGGACCCTGCTACTATCAGAGCATACACCAAACACTAGGCGGCCGAATTCCGGCTCCCGGAACTGAGCCCGCGGGGGCTGCTTCTTGGAGCCTACACTTATAGGAGCTTACACCGAGCACGGAGCGGCCGAGTTCCGGCTCCCGGAACTTCCCTGGACCGGGGCTGGGAGCCCGCGGAAACTGTGTCTCGGTCCGGGTCCTGCTGAGGGCAGGTCAGGACTCACCCATTGCTTGGGTTGCCTGGCAAGGGGAACGAAATGCTGCCATTCGCATAGGATACCAACATGGCAGAGATCTGATGTCAGCAGAAAGCGGTGGAGGAGAGATCTTCATCAATACCAGCGGTGACATAAGCAGTTGGTCTCCTGGTAAGGGGGGTGAGGCTCAGTCACCCGAGTCTCCTCAATTTGTCCTCGAGCCAGAGGGAAGGAGCCGGGCCGCCGCCAGCCCCCGGAGCAGGCCCAGCGGCTCGCCAGCGTGGTGACCGCGTGACCCCAATTGGAGAGGGGGCGGAGCGGAGCCGCCACCCACACCCGCCAGGTGGGCAGACCCACGACCCAGTAGTACATGGGCGTGGTAGGAGGGGCAGGGCAGAGCCGCCCTTCGCGCTTGCAAGGTAAACAGACCTGTGACAGCCTGGCGGGTCAGGCCCAGTGGCCTGCCAGTGTGGTACACACGTCACCGCAACTCGAGTAGGGGCAGAGCAGATCCTTATCCCACGCCCGGATCAGGCCCTGCCGGTGTGGTGGTCACGTGACCCCAATTGGAGTGGGGGTGGAGCGGAACCGCCACCCGTGCCCGCAGGGTGAGCAGACCAGTGATCAACCTGCAGATCAGGCCCAGGGGTCCGCAGGCGTGGTAGGAGGGGCAGGGCAGATCCGCCGCCCGCGCCTTCAAGGTAGGCAGACCTACAACAGACCTGCGGATCAGGCCCAGGAGCCTGCCGGCGGGGTACAAATACCCCCCTAGTTGGAGTAGTGACAGAGCAGAGTCGCCTCCCTTGCCAGGAACAGACCCAGCATCCTGCAGGCGGGGTAGTCACGACACCCCAGTTGGAGTAGGGGCAAAGCAGAGCCTCCACTCGTGCCCGAAAGGTGGGCAGATCTGCGACCGACCAGCAGGACAGGCCCAGTGGCCTGCTGGTACGACAGACACGTCACCCCAATTGGAGTAGGGGCAGAACAGAGCCGCCACCAGCTCCCAGAACAGGCCCAGTGACCTGCCGGCGTGGTAGCCACGACACCCCAATTGGAATAAGGAGAGAGCAGAGCCGCCGCCCGCACCTGCAGGAAAGATACGCAAGCAGTATGAAAAGACAAGGAAAGAAAGGACCACAAGCAATGCAGGTCAACGCAACTTTAGAAGAGGTAACAGCTGCAGCAGATGGAATGTCAGATAAAGAATTCAGGATATACATGCTTCAGATGATCTGGAGTATCAAGGAAGACATTAAACAGCAAAATCAGACAATGAAAGATCACTTCGACAACGAATTACGCAAACAAATCCAGGAAGCAAAGGATCAACTATACAGGGAGATAGAGGTTATAAAAAACAAGCAATCAGAAATCCTAGAAATGCAGGAAGCAATAAACCAACTTAAAAACTCAATGGAGAATACTACCAACAGAGTAGAACACTTAGAAGATAGAACATCAGACAATGAAGACAAAGTATTTCAACTGGAAAAGAACATAGACAGCTCAGCAAGACTGTTAAGAAACCATGAGCAGAACATCCAAGAAATATGGGATAACATTAAGAGACCAAACTTAAGAGTCATTGGGATACAGGAAGGTACAGAGCTCCAAACCAAAGGAATGAGCAGTCTATTCCATGAAATAATACAAGAAAACTTCCCAGACTTGAAGAATGAGACAGAATCCCAAATCCTAGAAGCCTACAGGACGCCGAATGTGCAAAATCATAAGAGATCCACACCTAGACACATTATAATGAAGATGCCCAACATACAGAATAAGGAGAGAATTTTAAAAGCTACAAGAGAAAGGAAGCAGATTACATTTAGGGGCAAGCCAATCAGGATAACAGCTGATCTTTCAACACAGACTCTGAAAGCTAGAAGATCCTGGAATAACATATTTCAAACACTGAAAGATAATGGGTTCCAACCAAGAATTGTGTATCCAGCGAAATTAAGCTTCAGGATGGAGAATGAAATTAAAACCTTCCACGATAAACAAAAGTTTAAAGAATTCGCAGCTAGAAAACCATCTCTTCAAAACATCCTAGCCAAAGTATTACAGGAAGAGGAAATGGAAAATAACAATGAAAACCAACAGTGGGAGGTAGGACAGTAAAGGGGGGGGGGAAACAATCAAAGAGGAAAACAAACAATGTTTAGTAACAGAAATAAACAAATATGGCTGGAAGAACAACCCATATCTCAATAATAACCCTAAATGTTAATGGCTTAAACTCACCAATTAAGAGACACAGGCTAGTAGAATGGATCACAAAACAAGACCCAACAATATGCTGCCTACAGGAGACGCATTTGATAGGAAAAGACATACATAGGCTGAAGGTGAAAGGTTGGGAAAAATCATATCACTCATATGGACTTCGGAAACAAGCAGGAGTGTCCATACTCATATCAAATAAAATAGATTTCAAGCAAAAGTTAATCAAAAGAGATAAAGAGGGACACTACATACTGCTTAAGGGAACCATACACCAACAAGACATAACAATCATAAATATTTATGCCCCAAACAATGGTGCAGCTATGTTCGTCAAACAAACTCTTCTCAAGTTCAAGAGTCTAATAGACCACCACACCATAATCATGGGAGACTTCAACACACCTCTCTCGCCACTGGACAGATCTTCCAAACAAAAGTTGAATAAGGAAACTATAGAACTCAATAACACTATTAATAACCTAGACCTAATTGACATATATAGAGTATACCACCCAACATCAAGCAGTTACACTTTTTTCTCAGCAGCACATGGATCCTTCTCAAAAATAGATCATATATTATGTCACAGGGCAACTCTTAGACAATATAAAGGAGTAGAGATATTACCATGCATCTTATCTGATCATAATGGAATGAAACTGAAAATCAACGATAAAAGAAGGAAGGAAAAAGCATACATCAATTGGAGAATGAACAATAGGTTACTGAATGATCAATGGGTTATAGAAGACATCAAGGAGGAAATTAAAAAATTCTTAGAGATAAATGAAAACACAGACACAACATATCGGAATCTATGGGACACATTAAAAGCAGTTCTAAGAGGAAAATTCATTGCTTGGAGTTCATTCCTTAAAAAAAGAAAAAACCAACAAATAAATGATCTCATACTTCATCTCAAAATCCTTGAAAAAGAAGAGCAAAACAACAGCAAAAGAAGTAGAAGGCAAGAAATAATTAAAATCAGAGCTGAAATTAATGAAATCGAAACAAAAGAAACAATTGAAAAAATTGACAAAACTAAAAGTTGGTTCTTTGAAAAAATAAACAAAATCGACAGACCCTTAGCGATGCTAGTGAAGAGAAGAAGAGAGAGAACTCAAATTACTAGCATACGGGATGAAAAAGGCAATATCACAACAGACACTTCAGAAATACAGAAGATAATCAAAAACTATTTTGAATCCTTATACTCCAATAAATTAGAAGATAGTGAAGGCATAGATAAATTTCTTAAGTCATATGATCTGCCCAGATTGAGTCAGGAGGATATAGAAAACCTAAACAGACCAATATCAATTGAGGAGATAGAAGAAACCATCAAAAGACTACCAACTAAGAAAAGCCCAGGTCCCGATGGGTATACAGCAGAATTTTACAAAACCTTTAAAGAAGAACTAATACCAATACTTTTCAAGCTACTTCAGGAAATAGAAAAGGAGGGAGAACTTCCAAATTCATTCTATGAGGCCAACATCACCCTGATACCTAAACCAGACAAAGACACTTCAAAGAAAGAAAACTACAGACCAATATCTCTAATGAACCTAGATGCAAAAATCCTCAATAAAATTCTGGCGAATCGGATACAAAAACATATAAAAAAAATTGTACACCATGATCAAGTAGGATTCATCCCTGGGATGCAAGGCTGGTTCAATATACGGAAATCAATAAATGTTATTCACCACATCAATAGACTTAAAAATAAGAACCATATGATCATCTCGATAGATGCGGAAAAAGCATTTGACAAAGTACAGCATCCCTTTATGTTCAAAACTCTAGAAAAACTAGGGATAACAGGAACATACCTCAATATTGTAAAAGCAATCTATGCTAAGCCTCAGGCTAGCATTATTCTGAATGGAGAAAAACTGAAGGCATTCCCTCTAAAATCTGGAACAAGACAGGGATGCCCTCTCTCTCCACTTCTCTTCAACATAGTTCTCGAAACACTGGCCAGAGCAATTAGACAGACGAAAGAAATTAAAGGCATAAAAATAGGAAAAGAAGAAATTAAATTATCACTATTTGCAGATGATATGATTCTATATCTAGCAGACCCAAAAGGCTCTACAAAGAAACTATTAGAGCTAATAAATGAATTCAGCAAAGTGGCAGGATTTAAAATCAACACGCATAAATCAAAGGCATTCCTGTATATCAGCGACAAATCCTCTGAAATGGAAATGAGGACAACCACTCCATTCAAAATATCTTCAAAAAAAATAAAATACTTGGGAATCAACCTAACAAAAGAGGTGAAAGACTTATACAATGAAAACTACAGAACCCTAAAGAGAGAAATAGAAGAAGATCTTAGAAGATGGAAAAATATACCCTGTTCATGGATAGGCAGAACTAACATCATCAAAATGGCGATATTACCAAAAGTTCTCTATAGGTTTAATGCAATGCCAATCAAAATCCCAATGGCATTTCTTGTAGAAATAGAGAAAGCAATCATGAAATTCATATGGAAAAATAAAAGACCCAGAATAGCAAAAACAATGCTAAGCAAGAAGTGTGAATCAGGCGGTATAGCGATACCAGACTTCAAACTATACTACAGAGCAATAGTAACAAAAACAGCATGGTACTGGTACCAAAACAGGCGTGTGGACCAATGGTACAGAATAGAGGACACAGAAACCAATCCACAAAACTACAACTATCTTATATTTGATAAAGGGGCTAAAAGCATGCAATGGAGGAAGGATAGCATCTTCAACAAATGGTGCTGGGAAAACTGGAAATCCATATGCAACAAAATGAAACTGAATCCCTTTCTCTCGCCATGCACAAAAGTGAATTCAAAATGGATCAAGGAACTTGATATCAAATCAGAGACGCGCCGTCTGATAGAAGAAAAAGTTGGCTACGATCTACAGTCAGTGGGGTCGGGCTCCAAATTCCTCAATAGGACACCCATAGCACAAAAGTTAATAACTAGAATCAACAAATGGGACTTACTCAAACTAAGAAGTTTTTTCTCAGCAAAAGAAACAATAAGAGAGGTAAATAGGGAGCCTACATCCTGGGAACAAATCTTTACTCCTCACACTTCAGATAGAGCCCTAATATCCAGAGTATACAAAGAACTCAAAAAATTAGACAATAAGAGAACAGACAACCCAATCAACAAATGGGCCAAGGACCTGAACAGAGACTTCACAGAGGAGGACATACAGTCAATCAACAAGTACATGAAAAAATGCTCAACATCTCTAGCTGTCAGAGAAATGCAAATCAAAACCACCCTAAGATACCATCTCACTCCAGTAAGATTGGCAGCCATTAGGAAGTCAAACAACAACAAGTGCTGGCGAGGATGTGGGGAAAAGGGTACACTTGTACATTGCTGGTGGGACTGCAGATTGGTGCAGCCAATTTGGAAAGCAGTATGGAGATTTCTTGGAAAGCTGGGAATGGAGCCACCATTTGACCCAGCTATTCCCCTTCTTGGTCTATTCCCTAAAGACCTAAAAAGAGCATGCTACAGGGACACTGCTACATCGATGTTCATAGCAGCACAGTTCACAATAGCAAGACTGTGGAACCAACCTAGATGCCCTTCAATAGACGAATGGATAAAAAAAATGTGGCATTTATACACAATGGAGTATTACTCTGCATTAAAAAATGACAAAATCATAGAATTTACAGGGAAATGGATGGCATTAGAGCAGATTATGCTAAGTGAAGCTAGCCAATCCCTAAAAAACAAATGCCAAATGTCTTCTTTGATATAAGGAAAGTAACTAAGAACAGAGTAGGGACGAAGAACAGGAGAAGAAGATTAACATTTAACAGGGATGAGAGGTGGGAGGGAAAGGGAGAGAGAAGGTAAATTGCACGGTAATGGAAGGAGACCCTCAGGGTTATACAGTGGAGGGGGTAGAGAGAGAGGAGGGGAGGGGAGGGGAGAGGTGGGGAGGGGGGAGGGTGGATGATGGGAAAGGCAGCGGAGCACAACAGACACTAGCATGGCAATTTGTAAATCAATGGATGTGTAACTGATGTGAATCTGCAATCTGTGTATGGGGTGAAGGTGGGAGTTCATAACCCACTAGAATCAAAGTGTGGAATATGATATGTCAAGAAATTTGTAATGTTTTGAACAACCCACAATAAAAAATTAAAAAAAAAAAAAAAAAAAAAAAAAAAAAAAAAAAGAAAAAAAATCAGTTCAACAAATTATACTGTCCATGCATCTTTTAGAGTGTGAATGAAATGCTGGATGAAAAACATAATGGTGCTACTCAGAGCGACTACACTGAAATTATAATGTGCCTATTCAGGAACTGTAGATGTGATTACATAAAAACTAAATCAATATGAGCAGTCATTTGTCTGTTTACAGTAACTTCTGCAATTCCTGTGTCTTGGTACAAGAGTTTGGTGTTATAAACCAAAATTCTCAAGGGGGGTCCCTGAAAAAATGTAGGTTTCCCAGGTTAATAACAGTTGAAACCAACCCCTGTTTGCCTCTGGGCTTCAGAGGGGCCCTGCAGTAGAACCTGAGGCATATTTCAGTGGAAGATCTACCCAATTTTATAATACTTGAAATGCTGGGGCCCCCGGAACAGCGGCAAGCATTGACCAGATTATAAAATCAAGATGTGCACTGGTAGTTCTTTCACAGCATTTTCTAGGTCATACCATTCCTGGACTAGCACTCTCACATGTTCATACTCTTCTCATAAGTGAAACTTGCATGCCTGGTACTCTCCACCAAGTGACCATCAGATTAGAAGGGATGATTAATGTGCTAATAGGCAATAAATAAGAATCAATCCCCATATTTCTGCTTCTTCCACTAGACACTGAGTTTCTTGAGGGTAGGAGTTTCTTGTTCATTATTCTTGCATTCATCCATTCAACAATCACTGAAGACCTTCAGAAAATGGGTCAGATATTCTGCCAAGTGCTTAGCGAACAGTAGTCTCTACCCTCATGGAGTTTACATTCTAGAATGGGGATGCAGGCAATAATCAAGGAAACACAAATATGCAATATAATATCAGGCAAGATAAGTATGTTAGTTGGGAAAAGGGTTATTTTAGATAGTGTGGTCAGGCAAGAACTCTTTGAGGAAGTGATATCCAAGTAAAAACGCAAATTGAGTGATACAGGCAGCTGAAATGAAGGAGAAGCAAGTGCAAACGCCTCAAGACAGAAGGGGGCACCAGCCTGGTGTGCTCCAAGAATCATAAGAGGGTAAGCATGCCAGGAATAGAAAAGCAAGAGATCAGGTTGGAAAAGTAAGGCTTGGCCAAATAAGCTTGTAGATATGGTAATAAGTTTTTACTTTAAAGTGGGCAGGAACCGTTGGAGTAAAATTCTATGCACTAACATGATCTGACTTAGTGAAACACTGACCTCTGCGTGAGGAACACTCTAAGGGAACAAGAGCGGAAGCAGTATAACCAATCAAGAGGCTACAACAGTAGTCTAGGCAAAAGGGGGGGCGGGTAATGAGGACTAGGATGGAAGGCGGGGAGTGTGAGAAGTGGTCACATCAGAGGACACACTTTGGAATTAGGAGAAAGGACCTGATCAAACATCTAGTGCAGGTCAGCAGCAACCAAGGATTTTTAGAAGTTTGCACAATAAATAAGTCCTATCATAATCCCCAATCATTTTGGAGGCGCCTATACGTAAAGGCCTGTACTTCGTGGTGATGGAAGTTGGGGTCAGGCTGGGGGGGGCGCATGGGAAGCCGTGGGCGACAGCTTAACTAACTTGTGCACACTTCAGGCAGTGACAGGAGGTACATCTCAGGCAAGGCAGAAGCGAGGACATTACTACAATACTCTTGCTTTGGGAGGTAGGCGTTTGGTAGAAGTCACAGTTTCAAAAGACCCACGTCTTCATAGGCCAGGGAAAGAGGAAAGGGTAGGATGCTCCCGGAGGTGTATTAGGACCCTCCCTATAGGAGACCCACCCAAAGCTGGGCTCAAATTGCCAACGGCAAGCAGAGTCGCAGGAAAAGGTTGGGGTTTCCGGGGAGAAACTGACGGCGCTGTTACCTACATGAAACCAGCACCCCCGGTCACCAGGACCCGCTTCGCAAAGCTGCCGGGAGCACCCTGGGATTCCGCCCAGCCCTCCGCCGACATCTCCCAGCGCGGCAGAGCCTAGCACCGTAAAGCGCCGGGGTCTGAAGACCAGAGGAAAGTATCACCGCGACTTTTTGCGACACACCTAGTTCCACTGACACGTTTCAGAGAAGTCGGCGCAGCTTCCGGAGCGGCTGCGCAGGGCTACCGCGCAGGCGCAGGTCCTCTGGGCCAAAGCCAGACCTAATGCGAGTAATTGAGGGAGTTGGGGCAGAGCAGTGTGTCTGGAACGTCTTCCAGGCAACTGTTGCTAGCCCGAGTTATGCTTTACTTAAAACACGGAAGTTCAGAGTTTTGAAAGAAGTGCCTTCTTTTAGCTCTTGCACTTCACCCATCATCAGAGATTACGCACCAGTTAAGCTGAGAACTCCAGAGTTCTCTTTTTGCAATGTGGAAATAGGAGGTTGCAACTGCAAATTTATTTTTTATCGTTATTATTAATAAGATACATAGGAGACTACTTGCAATCATGATAAAGATGTTCCCTAGGCCTTACTCTTAGGTATTATCCTAATATTCTCCCCTCTTGCTTACTCCACCCCAGCCTGAATGCACTTTCCTCCAATCTGTGCCTAGTTTTTATTTCTTTATTTCTTAGCTCGAATGTCATCCTATTAGAGTCCTTTTCCTGACCACCGCAATTAAAATAGCAAGCTCTATCCTAGCCCTATAGAACCATCTTACTCTTTGTTTTATTTTATTTATTTTTAAAATTTTGATTTGTTATATATGACACCAGAATGCATTACAACTTATATTACATGTATAGAGCACAATTTTTCATATCTCTGGTTGTACACAAAGTAGAGTCACATCCTTCCTGTTGTCTTATGTGTATTTAGGGTAATGATGACCATCGGTCTTTCCTGCCCCTATGCCCACTCTCTTCCCTTCCCTCCCCTCCCCTTTTCCCCTTTGCCCTATTTAGAGTTCATTTAATCCTCCCATTCCGTCTGCCCCCTCAGGCCAGCATACTATGGATCAGCATCCTTAAATCAGAAAAATCATTTGGCATTTGGTTTTTTGGGATTGGTTAATTTCACTTATCATTATCTTCTCCAACGCCATCCATTTACCTGCAAGTGCCATGATTTTATTCTCTTTTATTGCGGAATAATATTCCATTGTGTATATATACCACATTTTCTTTATCCATTCATCTACTGAAGGGCATCTAAGTTGGTTCCACAGTTTAGCTATTGTGAATTGTGCTGCTATAGCACTCATCAACACATACTTCGATGAATTGTTCATTGCTTCTTCTCCACGAGGTTAGGGCCTTTTTGTTTACTGTGATAATTCCAAATCTCTAGGACCAGGCCTGACATAAAATAAACAATTAGTAAATATTGTCAAATAGGAAATGTCTTTTTTTTTCCCCCTACATGATATTTTAGCAAAGACAACAACAGCAACAAAAGAACATTCACTGTCTATGGAAGTGTTATTTGCTACAAACTTTTTGTTTTGAGGGCAAAGTGGTAATATAAATGAAAATCTAAAGTGTACATAGTCTGTGCCCCCCAAATTTCATGATGTATAATATAGATAATTGTTCATTGCTGTATTGTTTAATAAGGAAAAAATGGACACAATCTGTAAGATTGCCTAACTTTTTAAATACAATGGACTGTTACATAGACTTTAAAAAGATTGTACTATCATGGAATGTATGATATAATTGAAAATGTTGACCAAAATATATTGAAGTGAATACTTATAGTTTTTTTTTTTTTTCTGAACTAAATACCTTGCCCTTTATGATTTCCACAAGTTGATCCACTGTCAAAGGATGGGGATCTGACTCATCTTAGGCCAATTGAAGCCTCTTCCTGGGATGTCAAATTGGACTAAGGTTCTACCATAGTCTGGTTGTTCATGAATTCTGAGGACATACAAATTTGGGACTTATTAGTGGCCATATTCTTTCAAATGAACTGAGGAACCAGAAAACCTGCCTTCAGTGGGAGAGAAAAAACAAAGCTGATCAAGAAGGGAAGAAAATAAGATACAAAAAGAGAAGTCCCCCAGGGTTGGGGTTGTGGCTCAGCTGTGGAGCACTCGCCTAGCACATTCGGGGCCCTGGGTTCTATCCTCAGCACCACATGAGGATAAATAAAATAAAGGTGTTGTGTCCAACTATAACTAAATTAAGAGAGAGAGAGAAAGTCCCCCAGCATTCAAGGCCCAGGTTCGGCTTCTCCTTTGGCACCAATTGTATCCCTGTCTTTGACTTACAAGTTTCACTATTAAAAGACAATTCAGACAAATTTAGCAGCGTATATTTGAACAGAGAATGATTCATGAGTTGGGCAGACTCAGAAGAAAGAAAGGTTCAGAGAGTTTAGCTCTACCCAGCAACCTGGGCAGGAAATATTTATAGAAGAAGTATGCAAAGGAGGGCTGGGGATGTGGCTCAAGCGGTAGCGTGCTCGCCTGGCATGCGTGCGGCCCGGGTTCGATCCTCAGCACCACATACAAACAAAGATGTTGTGTCTGCCAAAAACTAAAAAAAATAAAAAATTAAAAAAATGCTCTCTCTTTAAAAAAAAAACATGCAAAGGAGAAGGAAGTGACATTCAGAAACAGCTTAATTGGTTACATCTCCAATTTTGCCTTATCAGGACTTGATATGACAACACATCTGCCAGATATGGTTGTCTTCTGATCAGTTGGCAGCCTGCGTTTGGCTGAATCCCCCCTGCAATAATTGGCTGAGACTCAGTTACTTGTTAGAAGACTATACTTCTGCTTAAGTTGCTGTTCATTTATATACTAAATTAAGTTGCAATTCTCCATGTATTAACTCGAAGTATTGAAGGTAGCTTCAGGTCTAATTTAATTTAATTTAACACCATATTATTTGTAACAACTGGTCTAAAAGGATCCACCCCAAACTACTAACAAGGGTAATCTTTAGGTATTAGATATGGAAGGGGAAAGGAGGAAATAGAAAGTTTAAGTTTTACTTTAATTTTACCGTGAATTTTTTCTAAGCTGCATGAATTTCTTTTATAATAAAAAAGAACTAGTGCAGTTTTTAAAATACCCAAATATTAATACCTCCAGTTTGTTCCTGGTCAGCCAGAGATACTGAAAATGCTATGTATACCATAGTAGGTATTACCCTAGTTTCTTTTCTAAATTGTGAGATGTGTTGTGAGAACTTGCTTATACATTTTTAAAGTGTGTTTTGGAATGAGAATAATTTATATGCACTTATTCATGAAACAATTTTTGAGTTCCTACTTTCATTAAGACAGGAATAGTCTCTGACCCACTGGACCTAATAATGTAGTGAGGGAGTCAGATAAGTCAAGTCATACACCATATAGTAGAGTAATTTCCCTGATAAGGAAGTGAGGGATTTCAGACCCAGGGGCATCTAACACAGAGGCTTCCTAAACTGACAGGGTTGGGGGTGAAGGGGATATAGCAGGTGATATAGGGTTGAGTAGTAGGATCAGCAGAATTATTCCAGTCAAAGGGATTTGCAAATGACAAAGGCCTAGAGGGGAGAAATTGGGGTGTTTGTAGACTGACAATCATAGGGATGGAGATCAGTAGAGAGACTAAAATTTGAGTGACTAGAGAGCCATATTCTAAAGAGTTTGGGTTGTGTACTAAAGGCAGCTGAGAGCCTTTGAAGAAAGTGGTTCAATCATTATTGTTTCCTAAAGTTTTCTGTGGTTCTAAGGAAGAGGTGGACTGTAGCCTGTTAGAGAAGAGTGGAGGAAGGTCCGCTGCCATAGGCTGCTGCTTCCTACTATCACCAGAAGAGATTTGCAATTGAATTGATGGGATATGAGGGAGTAAAGAGAGCTCCATTTCCCAACTCTCTGGCATGCTAAGTGATGATATAATTAAAGAGGAAACCTAGGGATGAAAAATCAGTTGGGTGCCAGACTCATGTTTTATACTTTAGACATGTAAGTGTCTTTGAAACATTAAAGTGGACAAGCTCAGTAAATTATATAGGCATGGAGGAAAAAAAGAACATGGTTCCAAATATAAGGGAATTTTCTTTTTTTGACCGGAATGCTCTTGTCGTGTTTTATTAGCAATTTCCTAATCCCATGAGCCGCTCCAAGGTGCCTTCGACCTGCTCAGCGCGCGCATGCGCATTGACACCATCCGCTGGGGCACCGAGGGCAAAAGCTTTCAGTAACCCGAAGCAACATCCTCCAAATTCTCCATTAAAAAAAGGCGGGAACTAGCCAAAAGCCTGGGGAGTGATGGGACGCGCGGATCTGCATGCCCTTCCACTTCTGCCTCTGATTGGTGAATATGCTTGGCTCGTGGCGAAAACCTCACCTCATTGGCTGTTGGTCTCCAGAGAGGCGGGCTCGCTGCGCTGGCCCCACCCATCCTCCCGCTGCCGACGTGGGGCTGACGGCCGCAGGCGGGTAGGGCCCCGGGTGCGGGTGCCGAACAGGAGGCAAGGATGGGGGGGTTGCGGCTGCTGGCAGTGGCCCTGACGTGCTGCTGGTGGCCGCAGGGCAGCCAGGGTAAAACCCTGCGGGGCAGCTTCAGCAGCGCCGCGGCCCGAGACACTCGGGGCCAGAGCATCGGCCACTTCGAGTTCCACGGTAGGTCCCGGGGGCGGGGAGAGGGATGGAGGCGCGCGGGCCATCGCTCCAGCAGGGCCCGCAGACCGCTCCTCCCCGCCTCCGGGGGTAGGCCGAGGGCGGGCGGCACCCAGCCCCTCCCTGCCACGTCGGGCCAGCCGGGCGACTTCGCCAGCCTCACCTGCACTTCACGGTCGCCTCGGCCCTGCCCCCTTCGCAACTAGCCGGGATCGCGGCAGGCGTTGGCAGCCCCGCAGTTGCTGTCCCGAGCTTGTCTGCAGCCTCTGGCGAATAGAGGTTGTGTTCTGCACCTGAAAGCCCGTGTCCATTTCCCAGCCCTCCCCTTGCAAAAGAATACACAAATGACTGATCTGATCGCTGCATCTTTTTGAGATCCTTCCCCTAAACAAGCATCTTTTGTCCATTCCCGACTGGGCCTGATTACATTCATTTGGGCCTTATTAAGGGTGAATGTAAGCCCAGGAACTTAGATTTCTTTTTTTTTTTCCTTTATTCTTTTATTTTTAAAGACCAGTGTGGTAAAGCCTCTTGGAGCAGAGGGGTTGTAATCTAATTACCATTACTGCCAGAACAGTTTGGTTACTTGGGTGATTTACTATGGATCTTAAGGCCTAGAGTTAATTCAATGGAAACTTCATAATGTATAGTGTCCCGGAAATTTCATTATTGATATTCTCTTTGGCCCATCTGAAATCAGAGTTGCCTTTGATTTGTACAGTCTGGTCTCCCTCAAAAATCAGTAATCATCCCTATAATGAATGAACTTGCAGTTGACTCTAATTTTTGTTGCATTTACTTGTACCCTCAAAATTTCAGATATTTTTTTGTAACTATTTCTCTAGTATTGTTATTTCAAATAATTTGTCCTTGGTGAACTTATGATCTTTGGTCTAAATAACCTTTAGTTGCATTAAAAGATACAACTATGGAGATCAGAATATTGGCCTAAAAAGGATTCTTAGGAAGAAGATAATAGAAATGAAAAGTGGTTTTGGTGTGGGAAAGGAATTTAAAGTCCTGAGAGATTAAAGAATTGGTGATATAAAGGCAGGGGAACCTGACTTTTTAAAAGTCTATAGTTTTTGAACCTAGCTGAGAAAGGAAAAAATCCAATATGAATATATACCTTTGGTGAATAAAGGAGAAACCCTTTATATAGTTTTATTATTTTGTCAGATTTTCATTTTTTTAACTCACTGTAACAATACTTTGAGTAATAATAGTGATAGTAATCTCACTATAATAAATGGCACAACTGAACAGTGCTGAAAAAATCTAGTGTGCGTGGATGCTGTACCAGCAGACTTACAGACTTAGAAGACAACCTGGTTTTTACCTGGTAAACATGGGAGAGAAACATATACTAAGTCTAAATTTCTCAAGACAGATTGGATATAGGGTGTTCCAAATACATTTTCTCATTCTATGTGTGTGTGTGTGTGTGTGTACACATACACATATAAAAATATGTAATTATATTCTCATATATATTTTGTTAATACCAATTTTTCAGTGAATTACACTTCAGTAAAATGATACTAAAAATATATTGAAAAAAACAGCCTATAACTCAGAATGCAATTTAAGGTGTTAACAGGGCTTTATAGTCAGTTTTATGATTTGACAATTTATAAGGTAACCAATTTATGCAAGAGACTTAGACATTCATTATGTATACTACACACAAATATATATTATAATCAAAATGATATATTGTCAAAATGATAATTCTAATAACAATTTTTTTAAGAAGATTTTAAGGTGAAAAATAGGCTCCTGCTTTACCTCTCGTCACCTAGTGTCCCCATTCTTAGAATCAACTACTTTTTGCCATTTCTGTTCCAGGTCTTCACTGTTGTTATTGTGTGCAACCAGGCTCATTCGATTATTAATGACTTAACATATATTGTTATGAAAGTTTTTTGTTTTGTAAAAGTATGATATGTAAAATTTTGTCTTAGATGTAAAATATATACCTCAAAACACATTTCTTTAAACTTTCTTGCTATTTCCTAGGCTTATTTTTTTACATTAAAAATAAATTGAAATATTAAACTCATGTTAAAAAACGAAAGAAACTTTGGCAGGAAATTTCTATTGATTATGAACAATATAAAAGATGTATAGGGATTGTAAAGTGAGGCAAAAAAAGAGTTAAAAATTGTTTTTGAAATATATGTGTTTTTAAATATAAAAAATTGTGGGTTTTTTTTAAGTGAAAGTATTTAATTGTCCTACTATCTCAGTTTCATATAAGACCAAATAAGTTGATCATTTTTGTTTTAATATTAAGGTGACCATGCTCTTCTATGTGTCAGAATCAACAACATAGCAGTAGCTATTGGAAAAGAAGCTAAACTCTACCTGTTCCAAGCCCAGGAGTGGCTAAAACTGCAGGAAAGCAGTCATGGTTATAGTTGTAGTGAAAAATTATCCAGAGCTCAGTTGACAAGTGAGTATATCCTTTTTTCTTTGACCATTAGATATGTTTTTTTTTCCTTATGTTTGAAGTATATAAGATATTTCATGTTTGCCTATATCACACTGTGATAACACTTTGGTACACTTTAAGCTGAATTTTAAGGAAAATAACCTTTTCCTTGTTTAAAATATATAATGCCTCTCCCTGCCTTTAACATTCAAATTTTTTTAAAAATCCAGATAATTTATAAAGGAGTCCTTTCTTTCATTCAGACTCTTTACTATTCATATAATTTATGGTAATATGACAAATATATTTTTACCCAGTGTCAGCATGGAACCAATGATAGTATTTTTTGAATGCATATTTCTGCCAGCACTGAGCTAACACACTAACATGTATGTTAGTTAATTATAAAACTTAGCCCAAGTGATGCCGTTTTATGTCATTGACTTAGTAATATGGTGACAAAATACTTAACTTTGGGAGGTACCAGCACCAAGTCATTGTAAAACCCAGGGTTTGCCTCTGGTGAGGCTTGATTTCCCTTATCCTTATCTAGTGGCTTGAATCCTTGCTCTCATCCATTTTCCTCAACATTGTCTCGTGGTTGTGGTGATAGCCATCCAGAGCAAGTGAAAGCTTTTATAATTTAGAAATGAAGCACATGTGCCCTTCTACCCATTTTACCCCTTGGAAGTTAACTGACTGTAGGAGATGAGAAATGTGAATCATCCCTGAGAAAAAGTAGGAATTACCTTCTTCCCTCTTTATCCACCTATTATTCAGAGACTCATCCATATGTAGGGATGTGGTAGAGTCTTCTTTTTGTCTAGACAAATAAAACACTCCCCTTTCTAAACATCCATTCCTATTAGCCATCTGGTTCCCTCATAAGGCAGCCAGTCAGGATAGGGATAAAAGTAAAGGTCCCCAGTCTGCCATCCATTGTGGCAGTGCTGTAGTCCTTTGCCTGTACTGTTGAAATTGCCTCCCACCTGGCCACTCCGCAGCCATGATGGTTCCCCTTCTGTAACCAGAGTGCTCTTTCTAAATAGCAGATTTGAACCACTTTTTTGTTTTGGGCACCGCAAAGACTTCTTTCTCTCTCTAGTAAAAATTTATCAGGCTTCCAGGAAGAGGACAAGGAGCCAGTTATGAACCATGTAATACCATGTATTTAAAGTTGAGGAACATATTATCTTGGAGTTTAGTTGAATTATGTTATTAACCATTTGGGTTTCCCTTATGCTAATAGTTTATTTATTACCCTGTCCATTTGGAATTATTTTGCTTTTTATTATTGATTAGTTAAGAATTCTTCATGTATTTTTCCCAGTCTCTGGTTTCTCTTTTAATGTTGTTTATGGTATTTATTTATTGTCTGTCTGTACATAATTTAAAATTGGCTAGTTTTAAATATGGTTAAATTTAATTATTTAAAAGCTTTTTATATCTGTTTTAAGACTTTTTTTTAACCTAAAAATATAAACTAGTTATTAAAGACATTTTCCTACAATTTTTTTCCTTAAAAACAAAACAAACTTTGTTAGGCAGTTTAAAGCTTTGGGCTATAAGAATACCAATTTATTTTCTTGTTATCACATGGTCAGTATTATGCCATATATGATATACTCTTAAAAAACATCATTTTCATGATTCATATTCCTGCATTCCCAGACCTTCTATACACAGGGAGAAAGTATAGTGCAATAGGATATCCACGACACTGGGAATCCCTGCTAGTAACTTATAAAAGGGCTTGTTTTGAGCCTCACTTATGTGTTCTACAAATAAGTCAGACTGTTTCTAGGGTCCTGACCATCCTAAGATGCTGCAACTCTAAAGGTTACTCCAGGATACAGTTATATGTAGGAGTATAACTTAAGGAAGCCTTTTGCTGCTGTGTCTTTTCCTATTTTCTTTTTCTCTATTCTGTGAAGTACAAAAGTATTCTTTGTAATTATGGAACGGAAGATATCAGGAAGCAGGAATTTTAGAACAATGAAAATTGTTTTTGTTAATATTCGTGCCTGAAATAAATTAAGTACTTAATATGTATTGATATAAATAGATACAGATTTATAGATTTTATTAATTCTTTTCCCAGTAATAAAATCCAAATATTAAGAAAATCTGTCTTGAACTTTTATATAGTAGTTGTCATATTTGTAGTATATTATTATATAGATGCTTGGGTACATTGAAACCAAAGCATATTCTTAAATTTATGACACTGTAATAGTACCACATACTTAAAAATAATTCTTTTAGGAAGTGGATTTCCTATCAGTAAGACTTTTAGGAATTAATAGCCTTTCACCTATTTGGAATGAACTCATTAATGATGTCCAACTCCTATGTAAAACCTTACTGCTACTACTCACTGTGAAGAGACTAGTAGATTTGAAAAATCTCTAGTTGCTTGATTCACTCAGATTAATGTTTGAGAAATTATTTTTCAGTCTTCTTTTGTTCTTGAATTTCATAGCACATCAGATTTCTTTCTTTCTTTCTTTTGTGCATATGTGTGAATAGTGGTAGGGATCAAATCCAGGGCCTTGTGCATACAAGGCAAGTCTCCTACACTGAGTTGTGTCTCCAGGCCAGATTTTTTTTTTTTTTTAATGACAAGAACGATTTTGGTTTTAAAAGCAAGAAAACTGAACACCTACAAGCACAGAAAATGGTGAGTTTTTCTTTCTATCTAAAAGAAATCTAATGAGATTCAGGATAATTTGCTGTTAGATTATAAGAGCTAAATATATTGTATGTAAAACATTTTGATATTTTATATCTTTTTGTGTATTTGGTGTATTAAAATCATTTAAATATATTAGTATTTTATTCTGTGTATTTTGGTTAATAATATTCATTTTCTTTTATAATATGACTAGGCAATTAGCCATGCAACACCATTCACTGCAATTCAATTTTTGTTAATATTTGAGGTACTAATTATACCAGCATAGAATATGCATGCTGTGCTGTAGTCTTTTGTCTCACAAACAATAAACATACAGTTTTGTCAAGAGGCTCACTTACCAGGCTTGCTGAAACAGACAGACAAAAACTAAAGGCCAGTATCACTTTATGAAGCACATTTTTGTCTCTGTAGGTCCATGTAATTTAAAATGAAACATCAAAAAGTATATTGATGAAAATATAATAATGAGTTTTTGTATTGTCTTATCTAAGAGAAAAAGTGCAAGTGATAGAGACACAGCAGAACCTTTATATAATGAGGTCCAGATTATATAATTGCAAGCCTCACATTTAAACAGTCTCATTCCTGAACTATTGATTGACTATATTTTTACTAAAGGTCTTCAAAAATTTAACAGAAACTAAAATCTTAGCTGCATTTTTTTAGCGACTGTATAATTTAAAAAAAGAAGTAATATAAAGTCTGCTAATCTACAGTAGCCAAAAAGGCAATGTTGTGGTGTTGTGAATCAAATCCTCTTGTTCATTTTAACTCATAATAGGTAGAATTTCCAGTTGTAAATTCAAGGTCCTTAAAATTTGAATCTTGACTAGGTACATCTGTATCTCATTTATCAAGCCATCCTATACATAACATTTCCTCAGTTTTCTATTAGGAAAAATTTCCAGTGTACAGAAAAGTTCAAAGTAAAGTATGATCAACAATGTAATTTTATGCGTTAAGAATACTCTACTTTGTATAAAACCATATATCTTAATATAGGATTTTTCATGTGTCTCATTTGTCCTCAGAAGAATTCTGAGCTAGATAGGGCAGGTATCTTCCATTATACTGTTGAAGAAGCAAATTTATAAAATGTAATTTATTTACTGAATTACACAAAGCCAAGGCTTGCTCTGCTAACTCCACTGTTTGGAATAGTGTCTGGAGTTTGAGACACCACTTTCCCACAGTTTCCCCACAGCTTCAAGTAGTATTATTTAATGCCTCTTAGGGCAGAATTACAGTCTTAGATCTGGAAAAGATCATTATTTTGTACTTCTCAAAAGAGGGTACTGTGGCATTTTAGGGAGGAACAGTTTTTTGCTATGTGACTTTACCTAGCTTACATGAGATTTAGCACAGCTTCCCTCCAAGTTTGTCACAGCTACTATGACAACAAAATTGTCCCCACACATTTTCAAAATGCCCTAAAGGGAAGCAGGATTACCCTGATTTGAGAACTGTGATTAGTATAAAACCTTGTATTAAAGAAAGAAGAAGGAAAATTAATTTGTTGAGCAACTACTTTGACAAATACCATGCTGGGTGACTCATATAAGTTAGTCCTTACATCAGTTCTTTGCTATAGGTATTATCTTCATTTTACAAATGAAGAAAGTGAGTGTTATTGTATATATACAGATCCGTTTGATGCCAACTTTCATGAGTTTTCCCCCACTATGTCATATTACCTTATATGGACCTGAACCAGTGTAACTTTCATCTTCTGTATTCCTTTTTTTATTGATTTTTTAAAAAAAATAAATGACAGCAGAATGCATTACAATTCTTATTACATATATACAGCACAATATTTCATATTTCTGGTTGTATACAAAGTATGTTGACACCAATTCATATCTTCATATATGTACTTTGGATGATGATGTCTATTACATCCCACCATCCTTGCTAACCCCCTTCCCCCTCCATTCCCCTCCAACCCCTCTGCCCTATCTAGAGATTGTCTATTTTTCCCATATTCCCCCTCCCTACCCCACTATGAATCAGCTTCCTTATATCAGAGAAAACATTCGGCATTTGGTTTTTTGGAATTGGCTAACTTAGCATTATCTTCTCCAATGCCATCCATTTACCTGCAAATGCCATGATTTTATTCTCTTTTATTGCCGAGTAATATTCCATTGTGTATATATGCCACACTTTTTTTTACCCATTCATCTACAGAAGGGCATCTAGGTTGGCTCCACATCTTCTGTATTTCTTTTTTCTTTTCTTTTTTTTTACTTTTAAGTGCCTTTTGATGTTTTTGTTTGTTTGTTTTGTTTTGTTTTGATATGGGTGCTAGGAATCAGTCCCAGGGCCCAAGCAAGCACTGTCTCATGGAGCTGTACCTTTAGCCCGGTACTGCTTTTAAGAATGACCAGTCAGAAAAATGTTTTGGAAAAATTTTTTGAAAAACTACTTGTCAGTCATAATTTTTAGATATCATAATGATTTTCTTAGTTAGTTGAATGCTCCATTTAAAATTTAACTCAAGTAACTTAAAAATGTCAAATGTCACAGCAGTTACTGCACAGCATTGTGAATGTGCTTATTGTCATGGACTGTTCTCTTAAAAGTGGTTAAAATGATAAAATTGTGTATCTTTTTTTCTTATCACAGTAAATTCAAAGTTTCAGTGAAACCATTTTCATTTGTGGTATTTCAGTATTTTAATAGTGATTTCTTGGTATAAAATGCATCATTTTAATCTGCTTTATACTTTACATGCCTTATTCCAGTACTACACCCAGGCCTGAGTTTTTGAGGCAAAAAAAGGATTCTAATCCCTAGATTGATTATACAACTAAAACAGTGAGCATATTTAAAAGTTTTGCTTTGGCTGCATCAATTTGCAGTCCTACCAGCAGCGTATGAGTGTACCTTTTCCCCACATCCTCACCAATTTCTTGGAAAATTGGGAATGGAAACACCATTTGACGCAGCTATCCCTATCCTCACTCCATACCCAAAGGTCTTAAAAACAGCATGCTACAGGGACACAGCCACATCAATGTTTATAGCAGCACAATTCACAATAGCTAAACTATGGGACCAACCTAGATGTCCTTCAGTAGATGAATGGATAAAAAAAATGTGGCATATATATATACATACAATGGAATATTACTCAGCAATAAAAGAGAATAAAATCATGGCATTTGCAGGTAAATGGATGGAGTTAGAGAAGATAATGGTAAGTAAAGTTAGCCAATCCCAAAAAAACAAATGCCAAATGTTTTCCTTGATATAAGGAGGCTGTTCATAGTGGGATAGGGAAAGGGAGCATGGGAGGAATAGACGAACTCTAGACAGGGCAGAGGGGTTGGAGAGGACAGGAAGGGGCATGGGGTTATTAATGATGGTGGAATGTGATGATCATTATTATCCAAAGTACATGTATAAAGACACGAATTGGTGTGAATATAATGTATATACATCCAGAGATATGAAAAATTGTGCTGTATATGTGTAATAAGAATTGTAATGCATTCCACTGTCACATATAAATAATTTTAAAAGAGTTTTGCTTTGAAAGGTGTTGTTTTCTTTCTCTTTAAAGTGACAATGAACCAGACTGAACATAATCTGACAGTGTCCCAGATTCCATCTCCACAAACATGGCACGTGTTTTATGCAGACAAGTATACATGCAGAGATGACAAGGAGAACTCTCAGGTGGAAGATATCCCCTTTGAAATCGTGTTACTAAACCCAGACGCTGAAGGAAATCCATTTGACCATTTTAGTGCTAGAGAATCTGGTAAGAATACCTATTTAAATATATCCTAAATACAAAAAAAAGACATAAAAAACACCTTCATGTTGTGTTTTTAGAATATTAAAAATTTAAAGTCATCTATGTGTTTAGCATTTGGGAAATGGCTGAATGAATCTTTTGATAACATTTTGATAGCTATAATATTAAGTTTAAAAGGCAGAACACTGAATTTTATATTGCATGACTTCAGTGTATTTAAAAATGCAGAGAATGAATTTTTAAAAATCACAAAAATAATAGGTTTCTTATTCTGAATGGTAGAGATGTATAGTGTTTAGTCTGCTCTGTGTGGTCTACCTCTTTTTATTGTTTTATGACATCTTAGAATTATATTTATAAACAAAAATGTTAATAAAGCAATTTAAATTGATATTTCAGCAGTTTAGCTTAGAAACTGAATTATTTTCCAAGGCTATCCTTTCACTAGGTTGTTTGAGCAGATTTAGGGACTGCCTTTATTGGTACATAGGAATGATCAGAATCTATAATGCTTTCTGGAGTCAAATTTACTTCCATAAAGACACATTTTTACCAAATTTTAGGTGACTATGCCCGGCCCTATTGAAGTGAGATTCCTAGCCTCAACAAAAATTAAGGGATTCTTATGATTTCGATAAACCCAGTATGAAGTAGAATAGACTTGTTGGAGTAACATGTCAGAGTTATAAAAGGATTTATATAGGCCATCTGTCAAAGAAAAGTGATGACTTCATGAGTTATTTGCCCATTTGAAAAAGTCAGTCTACTTAGAGAAGAATTTAATTCCATTGCATCTCATCGGCCATAAAGAGGATGGGTGGAGGGTGGGACAAAAATAAGGCCGTGTTAGACTTAACCAATGTTTAGTTCAAAGTGTAAGTTTGCCACAGCTAGAAAAGCAAGTCAAAGAGCATTTGTAATAGGTCACAAATGAATGTATAAAGAATGAATATATTATAATATCCATTGGTTTGAAAAAGTTTATAGAGTCAGTGGGATGCTAATGTTTTAAAATAGATAGTTTTAAAAGTTCTTTCTGTGAGGGAAATGAGAGTCTAAGCCACTCAGGTTGTTTTTGAATGCAGATGAACTTAAAGGTCAGATTTCACTAATGATAACCTTAGAACAGTGTGGATCATTATTGAAAGCTAGTCTTGTCATTTATTTTATCTTTATAAAAGATGTTGACATTTATTTTCCATATTTTGAAAAGGCATTGGTGAAATCCAAATCTGATAGCATTGGATGACTGATTTGGACTAAATTACTTTTTTTTTAGAGAGGGAATTTTTTTTTTTTTTATTGTTGGCTGTTCAAAACATTACATAGTTCTTGATATATCATATTTCACACTTTGATTCAAGTGGGTTATGAGCTCCCATTTTTACCCCATATACAGATTGCAGAATTACATCAGTTACACATCCATTGATTTACATATTGCCATACTAGTGTCTGTTGTGTTCTAGAGAGGGAATTTTTTAATATTTATTTTTCAGTTTTCGGAGGACACAACATCTTTATTTTATTTTATTTTATGTGATGCTGAGGATCGAACCCAGCACCCCGTGCATGCGTGTTACCGCTTGAGCCACATCCCCAGCCTTGGACTAAATTACTTTTAAGATCCCTTTCAACAGCACCATGAAAATGGAAGGGAGATCAGTGGGGTGGGGGTGGGGTTTGAAAGGGACAGGGGAGGGAAGGGAAGAGAAAGGAATAGCAGAATGATGTTGACCAAATTATGCTGTGTGCATGTGTGAATGTACCATGGTAAATTCCACCTTTATGTATATCTATGAAGTACCAATTTATAAGAGCAATAATAGAGATGGGGGAGAACAACGGAGTAGAGGAGGAGATGGACACTGAAATGGAATAAATTATATTCCATGCATGTGTTATGTCACAATGAACCTCACTATTATGTATAGCTATAATCCACTAATAAAGACACTTTTAAAAAGTTGATAGTTGCTTGGAGTTGAGAGCAGGTATGAGAATTACTGCAAACACGCACCAGGGGCTTTTGGAAGAAGTGGAAATGTTTTAGAAACTGAATTGTGGGCTGGGACTATAGCTCAGTGGGGAACACTTGCCTAGCATATTCAAAGCCCTGAGTTCAATCCCCAGTACTACCAAAAGAAAAAAACTGAATTGTGGTTGTTGCACAACTGTATAACTATACCAAAAATTATCGTATACTAACCTTGAGTGCGTTTTATGATCTACATCAGTTATGCCTCCTTAGTAAAGCTATTTTAAAAAGATATGGGAAAGAAAGATCACTTTACTGTATGATTTCATTATTTCATTTAACACCAATTTTTAGGGCCAGGCAAGGGCTTACTAGGAAGTAATCCTTTATATGCCAGCCCCACTGCCTCTAGTGGAGTCCAGATGTGCTGTCCTTTCCCCTCCTGCCTTCTAGGCAGTAGACCTTTGGCTCAAAAGGTTGTCTTATTTATTGTGTGGCTCTCTGGGACTTGAGACTCCCGATATGCTTTTTTCTTGCCTCCTTTTCCAGGCTTCCATTTCTGCTCTCTTCCCTCATTCCAGTTTCACATCTGAACTTTGAACCCACACCTTTATGCAATTACATCTCTGCCCTGTGCTGTGCTTGGGCCAATGAATGCCACCCACACCCACCTGCCTTGTCCTGAACCTTGCCCATATCTTCTAGTGTTTTCCTTAACATCTGGAGTTATGGCTAGCTTTTTAGGATTTACATTCTGCTTTGCTTCTTAGTTCTGACTCATTCTAACTTTTCTTAATGTTGTCACTGATGTTGGTTTGATGCTCACTCTGATATCTTAAAGTTTTTTCTTATTCTAAAATGTGTAAAGTTACATTGGTTATGTAGCTGACAATGTTTAAACAAGGAGCAAAACCTCACTGTAATGTGTATTTTCATTAAGCATGATTCTGTGCAGGACTAACCTTCAGGGATTGATTATTAAAAAGTGCCAAAAGTACCCAAAAGTACTCAGCCTTAATTTTTGACTAGTTTAATTCCTAAAGATCATATCATTGTATTGATTAAAATGCCTGCAATTCTTTGTTATTCTAGTCCAAATTGATGGTTTGCAGCCTATTACTGTGTTTATAGCTAGAGAAGCTATTTTTAAAAATCCAGATTGGTTCAGAGCTCTGAAGTTGATTCTGTTTATTGTCAGGACCACTGACCTAAAAGTCTCTACTCCACATTGTTTTGGTGATGTGTTAGTTTTTTAAAGTAAAGGCTTAAGAGGGATTCTTTTATTCTCAGGTATTTGTTTTCAGGGAATAATCTCCAATTAGTTCATTTCAGAAACTTGGTCACTTATCTCGTTATCTGCTCCAAGTAAGGAGAATTGATTTGCTATGGCTTTATTTATTAAGAATTGACTATTTCCGTATGTCTGGGAGGTTTGAATTAGAATAACCTGCTGATAATTGCTGCAATTAATGATACATGTTAATCTGGTTAAATTTTATAATTTGTTTTCTTTCAAAACAATTAGTGTTTTTATATCTAACAGACTTTGGTTAATCCTGTATTCTATACAGTCTAATTTTACAAAATGAACTGAGGCAAGTTTGATGCCACTGGACAGTGTACTAAATAGGAGCATAATGCTTTAAGGTAGAATCAAATGAAACTGCTTTGTAAAAAGATTAAAATCCTTGTTAACTGTATTCGTGCTCTTGTTAGAGACCAAAAGAAGCACCTAGGATGCCAAGAGTGTTATTACCTAAGGCAGATAGACTGGTTTTCATTGGAATATTACAGGCTCTCCCATCTGCCATCTCACTGTATTTAATTTTAGCATATATGTTCATGCTTTTCTGTTTTCCCTTTTTTCCTCTATGTTCCAAAAGATAATGGGTTAGATCTTAATGTTGCACTGGTAACATGTTTTAATGTTTTTAGCTTAAAGTAATAGAAAACCCTAAGGCAAGTGGTATACTTAATTATCGTAAACAAGAAAAGGATCTAAGGCTTTTCCAGAGCGGATTATTTAGTGTCTCTCTGCCCTGGTATCCTCTGTCACCTTTGTCTTTAGGTTGGCTCCCCATAGGGTTAGCTATAGTTGTTCTGGACATCCCATCTAGGTATTGGCAAATTTTGGTATCTCTTCTTAATAGCAAGGGAATCTTTCCCAGAAGCTCCCATCACATTTCATTGGCTAGAACTAGGTCATATATCTTTGCATTATAAGAGAAATGTTAGTTTCCATACAGAAAGATGATAAAGGTAAACAAATCTGTCGAAGGGGCTAGATTTACCTTCTGCTGGCAAGGGTATTGGAATTTCTGATTGCTGTTGGGGCATAGGAGGGAGGGTACATATTGGGACCAAGACAGGAAGGATGGTGGACAGGCAAGCAGATCTGCTGCAAGTGCTGCCCCATGGCTCAAGGATTCTTTCTGCTTTTCTTATCCTCTGCTCTCCCATCATTTAGGTGGGGCTGAAGTTATTGAAGCTCTTCTCTAACTTTTCTTCCTACTTGATTTTGCCAGTTCTTCATTTGAACTTGCCTTACAACCTATACATTTCCTTATAACCTGTGTCACCACAGTTACATGTTCATTTAAGAATGTGTTTCTTCTTTAGTGAATGTTGTTTTAAGTAGGACAAGTAACACTTTGTATTCATCTGTTTTTAGATTTTAATTTCAGTGTGAAAAAACACAGATTGTTTTGGTCTTGTGAAGCTTGGTGGCATAAAAAAAGTATAATTGGTAACTGAAGTGGAAAAAAATCAGACTTTTGGGGGAGTGATTTGTTTTTTTAAAAAAACAGTGCTTTGTAGATATACACTGTGGACATTTATGTAAGTACATAGCATATTTTGGTCTGTTTCATTCCAGAGTTCCTCTCTTCCTGCCCTCCTTCACCTCCTTTATCTCCTTCCTCCACTCCACTGATCTCCCTTCCTTTTTTGTGGGATCCCCCCCCCCCCGCACAGTTGTTGTTGTTGGTTTTGGTTTTTTTGTCCCCTTATTTTGCTCTAGCTTCTGTAAAGTATCAATTTTAAAAACAATAAAATGGAGGGAAGCCCAGTAGGTAGAGGAAGGGGAGCAGCAGGAAGGAGGAAGAGAAAAGAGGAAGTGATGGGGACTGAAATGAAGCAAATTATATCCCATGTGTGTGTGATTCTATATATATTATATAGAACTATAACACACTCATTAAAAACATTAAAAATTTTAAAAACAGTGTAGACACAACACACCCTTTTATCTTTAAAGTAGCTCATGGATGGCCTCAAGGAAAGAATCATTTATCTAAAATTTAGTGAACAAAGTATCTTAGTTTGGTTCATTTAATATATTATTTCAGTGAAACAATTTGCTTTGTTGGCTATAAAATTGGTCCTTTCTGAGAGATACTTTTAACATTGAATAATCCTCAGGCTTTTTTTTTTTTTTGCTGGTGATAAGTGTCTTATTTTTAAAAGTACCCTCCTCCCACATTATTCTGATTTCTTAGTCTGAGGATTTTATTTTCATGGTAGATTTGTACCCTAATGGAGCCTGAAACTTTATCCTGTAATAGATATTCTATAAAGTATTATAAATAAAACTTTAAATAGAATGCTTTATTCCTTAATACAAAGAAGGAAAGGTAAAAACTAAGATCTAATACACAGAATAGTATAAGGAATTTTACTGACCCACAGCTGTTATAATATGGTTAGCATTTGTGTTTTGTATTGTTCCAGTCCTACAGTAATCTGAGGATTATGGTTCCATTATTTCTAAAGCTGCAGTGCTTTTCTATGTAAGGAATTTAAAAAGGAAGTACGCCCCTTCTGTTATTTGATCTTCTCTTCCTGAAGTCTAAACATACTTTTTCCCCTGCTCTAGAAAGTGACTGTTTATATTTATATAAGGTAGAGCAGGGGAGACACCCAGTGGAGAAAAACTTCTTGCTGCCTTTGTTTTTTTCCCTCCTAACCATGCCCCTAAAGTGACTGAGATTGAACTATTTGACTTTTTCCCTTTTATTTGTGTCTTCTATATCTTCCAAAATTATTTTCCACATAATGTAAATGTTCCTTTTCTGCTCATTAACTGGAGTTTTCCTCGAGGGTAATTGGAGCAGGCTCAGTGTTCACAATTGGAAGGGGAGTGAGTGTAATTTACATTCTTCATCCACAGATTCTGTGGAGATGGCTCTAATCTCAGCTGCTATCATGACATTCTAATATTAGTTAGAATTTAAAAGCTATATATTAGGGACTGTCTTGAGTGTAACCAAGTACTATTGGCCCTTTATATCCACAGGTTCTATTTTCATGGATACCAGATCAAATATATTGTGGAAAAAATTGTACTGAACATATGCAGACTTTTTTCTTGTCAGTATTCACTAAACAATACAGCATAACATCTAGTTAACATGAATTTACATTGTATTGGTATAATAAGTAATCTAGAGATGATTTGGAGTATATAGGAGCATGTGCCTAGCTTTTATTAAAATAAAATACCATTTTATATGAAGGACTCCATATATTTTGGTATCCCAGTGGTATCCTGGAACCAGTCCTCTTTGGTTACTGAGGGATGCCTGTAAATGTAAGCAGTAAACCTCAGTACATCTTCTGGCTTATTATAAAAAAAAAAATTCTAAAATTTCTGGAAGAGGAACACTCAGAAAAAGATTCCAAGTCACCCAGAAAAGGTGGTGTTGATCATGAAGTTACGTGAAGACTATGGAGAAGAGCTGCTTTTTGGAACTAGAGGTCGCTATAATGACTGCATCCTTTTTAATATAGCATCTGCACTTTGTTCTCATCTTTGCCAACCAGCGCTCTTTGCTCATAATTTCTGCTCACTCAAAATTTTATTTCATTGTAGCCTAGTTTGACTCCTGTGGCCTGTCCTAGCATCAAGTCTTTTATGGACTACTTCCCTTTTCATATTTTGTTGTTTGAATTCCCAAAAAATATGACTGACCTATCTTGCCTTTGAGAACAAAGTTATGTTGTTGGCAACTCGAATTGGTGGCCAGTTATTTAGTATCACAATTCCAGTTAATCGTAGAGCAGTCATTTGATCTCCATAGGATTTCCTCTTTGGCAAGAGCTACACAAAGTTTACCTCAGAAAGTGACTTTGGCTATAATAGGTGTTTTAAAGTTTTATCCAAATGGAAATTTAAAGTAATGGAGCATTCCAGAACATGTTAGTGGTATCAGAATCACCCTAAAACTTACTAAAACACAAATTAATGGGTTCCACCTTCAGGGATTCTGATTCAGTAGATCTGAAGTGGGGCCTAAGGTATTTCATTTTCAACAAGTTCTCTGGTGATGCTGCTGGCCCAGGGACGACACTTGGAGGAGCATCATCCAGGTATAGCAAACTATTAATGACTAAATAGATCTATTTCTAAACTTCTCACAAAAGAATCCACTTTTAGGGTAAAAAGTATATCTAACTGAATATTGAAATCTTTGTTTTCGTTTGCTGTTTTCAAACTAAAGTGTGATTTTATGGTGAATCTTTGGGCTTCCTTGACTGCGTTTTTTTTTTTTTTTTTTTTTAATAGATTGACTTTAAGTAGTTGGTTTAATCTACTTTTTTATAGTTAAAACTTTGTCCTAAAGTAAAAAATTGGTTTTTAAATAATTTCCCTCTTTATTTTCTCACAAAAATAAATGCTGTGACTTCAGTTTTAAAAGTCTAGATATATATTGACAGGAAAACTTGAAAGCAGCCCAACACTGCACTGGCTTTGTTTTACTGAAGCAAACTCCCTTTCTTCTCTTCGCAGGGTTACATGAGTTCTTTTTCCTCCTAGTCCTAGTGTACTTTGTGATTGCTTGCATTTATGCTCAATCATTGTGGCAGGCTATTAAGAAAGGAGGACCCATGCACATGATTTTAAAGGTTCTGACAACTGCATTGCTGTTACAAGCTGGTTCAGCTTTAGCTAATTACATTCATTTCTCCAGGTAACTCAAAACCACTAAAACTGTGTTCATCATTACGTCTAATTAATCCTAATTAGTGCACCACAATTATGCTTGCTTTGATTATGAACACTTTTTTTCGCATTTGTAATTTACACTAATATGTTCCTTTTCAATTCCTCAGGTATTCCAAGGATGGAATAGGGGTACCTTTTATGGGAAGTTTGGCAGAATGTGAGTATTGTTCTGAGCACTGTTTAATTTTTTTTAAGATAAACTTGCTATCTGCTTGTTCATTTTCCCTTTTTAAAAATTATTTTGTATTGGGGAAAAAAGCTCAGTGGCAGAGCACATGCCTAGCAGGTGTGAGGCCTTGGGTTTAATCCCCAGCATTGCAAAAACCACATAAATATGTAATTTTTTAACATAGTACAGTTTTTATGCCCAAGGTTGGTTAGAACTCATATTGACTGAAAACAAGGTTACAGATTTAGTTCTCATTTATCCTCCCTAGTTTCTTCTTAATAATATGTGTAACTCTTCATTATTTTGAGAGCATATTTACATATATAGTCTCTGATTTTATCCTCACCAAAAAGTAGATATGCTTATCCCTATTTTGCAGATAAAGAATCTGGACTCAGTGACATGAAGCACGTTTTCATATGTCAGTCAGCTATTGAGCAGTAGAGGTCTGACCCCAGTGCTGAATATTTTTTCCCTATTGTGATTCCATTTTCTGTTGCACCAACTTTTTTTCTGTTTTTGACACTAGGCCATATGTAGATCTATAATTGAGCTGATCCCACATCTTTGTTCTTTTATTTATAAGAGAAACTTTTATGAAGTAATTTTTCAATTAAGCATGATAGAAAAAGATATTTAAAAGGTCCTGTAATCATGACATTTTAGAGAACTGCAAAGGGACATTAAGTTTTATGCTACTCTTAATATTGGAAAACTAAGATTTGCTCTACAAAGCAGATTTTTAATATGAAACTCATTTTATCTTTGGATTTACTATTAGGATTTACTTTTCTTTATATTTCCACATTTCTCTTCTAGTCTGATTGCTCTTTTAGGGTATCTTGTGGTAATTACCACTAATCATCTTTGGACCCACTCATCCAGACCTTGACACCTGTTTCAAGATTTTGAAACTTGAAAACCCTTTCATTCTCCTTGTGAAGGGGATATGTTCAGTGCACTTCTGTACACAAGCAGGAGGGGCTTATCCTTTCTGAACATTGTCTAGAGCTCTGCTTCTCCCTTTTGGAAGTCTTTCAAATATTTAATGGAATTGTAGATTGTTAAAGCTGGACAGAACCTTAGAAATAATTCAGCTTATGCATTTTAGATGAAGAAATTGACATTCAAAGGGGCAAAGCACACAGAGCCAATTAGTGGCAAAGCTATTACTAAAATGAAAGACTGATGAATATTTGTGAGTGTCTGCTATATATAATACAGTGTCAGTCTTGCATTTTTATGGAAGGCTGAGAAACAAAAATTTGTGTGTGTGTGTGTGTGTGTGGGAGTGGTGTGTGTGTGTGTGTTTAGAATGGCAATAAATTGATGTTGCTGATTTTTGGTGCTTCCTACAGCAGAAGGTTTAGTTAGTTAAAGTAATTAAAATTCAAGACAGAATGGAGTTTTTGTGTGATCTGTGTATTCTATATGAAATTAATTACTTTCCAACAACAAATGAGCTGTCTTCTACCTATCCAGTTATAGTCTTATATCCATCTGTGTATTACTTAGTACATAAAGAAATGAGCCAGAATATTAGGGGGGTTTTCCAGGTATTTGTTTTTGCTACTTAGCAGCTTATGTATTATTTTCTGCTTAATAATAGCTTTCTTTCATATTTTCTATTGCACGGTAAGTACACTGAATGAGTGAATCAATTTCTACATAAGCTACTTAGCAGCTTATGTAGGAATATTCCTTTAGCTTCTTTATGTAATTAAATGAATGTGTATTTGTGAAATGTTTAATAAAATTAATTGATATCACAGTGATTCAAAAACCTATGATGAAAAGAAAGTGTTCTTGATGTGATTGGCCATAACATTTTATTTATTCAAATGTAGTGGTAATTATCAGAATTCACTACCACAGATACATTAGTATAAATGTAGAGTAGCCAGTTTTAATTTAGATGAAAGGGGAAAATCTGTAAAAATATATTTGAAAAGGTGTATTAGAAATGGATTTTTAGCTTGCAGTTTTTAAACATGAACCTTTATATACTAGAGCTAGTTTTCTCTGTTTTTATAATATCCTCACATAAAAGAAGTAAAATTTATGAATATCAGAGTTTCTGTGTGGCACTTTGTTAAATTATCACAAATTTATTCCAAAATGCACATCAGAACACACCACTATGAAAAATTATAGCCCTTAAAAAATCAATCACTACTAGTTTATATAAATATGGGTGGAACTTGAAGTATTTATAGATTTTGTTTCCCTATACTGCTGAACAGGATACAGGTGATTTTGTTACTGTTTTTTAAAAGTAGCAGGCTTCCCCTGCAGTTCAAGTGATAGCCACCTGGTGGCACATTGCACTAATTCACCAAGCTTTCCATTTGTCTTCAGCACTTTGAAACTAAAACTGACATAATTGGATGTCACAGTGGCTATGTACTTTATTGTCATAGTGTTTCTTACTAATAATTTTAGAAAATGCTATTTACAATATAGTTTAGTCATCAAAAAAATTAACAACCCAGAATTAAAGGTATTGATATTTTGTACACGGCACAAATTATATTTAAAATTTGATTCTTTTGATCAGGATTATCTATGGTTATGAAAGCTTAGAAAAATGGAAAACATGTATGTCATTAAGGTTAAACTTAATAGAGATATGATATGGGTATGTGTGTGTGTGTGTGTGTGTGTGTGTATATATATATGTGTGTGTGTATATATATATATGTATACATATATATGTATACATTTTAAAGTAGTATTACCACTGTTTTAACTGTTTTTATAAACATTATATATTTTTCAGAAATTTTTGTAATCCTTTAGAATTATCATCCATGAATATCTCTTATTGAAATTCCTTAGCGTCTCTTTAAAAAATGCCTGTACTTTTGTGGCTTACAAAATAAAACAAAAGGTAATTTTATCTCAATGCAAAAAGTACCAAATTCTGTGTATTATGAAAACTTGGTTAACTTCAATTTTTATTTCCCTTTAGTTTTTGACATTGCTTCGCAAATTCACATGTTATACCTACTTCTGAGTCTATGCATGGGTTGGACTATAGTCAGAATGAAGAAGTCTCAAAGCAGACCTCTCCAGTGGGATTCTACTCCTGCATCCACTGGCATTGCCGTGTTCATTGTCGTAACACAGGTGAGTGGTGAGTGCTGAGACCCAGTTTTATGCTTAACAATATTTAGAAATGCCAATGTATTTCAGAATTGAAATTTGGGACCCATGAGAAATTTGTATCATTTTGAAGTATGGATTTAAAGATCAAATAATCTGTTAACCTTCCAGGTGCTAATATATATAGTTTGTGGGATTTAATTGTAACTTACCTGGATTTGAGCATCCTACCAGCTTTTCTAAGTGTAATGTTTCCTACTTAATAATAGCTTTCTTTCATATTTCTTTATTACATGGTAAGTACTGACCATTTAATGAGTGATTCAATGAATTTGAGATTTTATTCCATTGACAAGGATCTTTACAGTTGGTTACTTTATACATAAAAATATTTGAGTAACTATAGGAGATTAATTAAAAGGCAAAATATGGAATAAGATAGAATGGGGTCTATTTTTCTGGAAACAAATACAAAAACAGATCTAATCTTATATAGAGGACATAAGTTTTGAGGATTTTCAGTAATAGCAAAACATAGGTCCTTTTAATTTTTTCCTTTTCCTCTATATTGGTAGCATTGACTATATTCTAAGATATCTCTATGCCTACGTGCAATGGATTTATAAAAATTAGGAAGAAAGAAAGGTGTGAACAAAAATTTATACTGAGTCTATGGCCAGCATTAACTACAGATAATAATGAAATATGCATGTGGGCTCTGTAAAGGACATTATGATGTAGGTTTTAATGTATTAAATAAATTGAAAATTCACTAATCAGTGGTGGAGCCGGTGCTGTATTCACCTTTTCCCGTAGTATTAGTAAAGTATAGTAGGTGCTGAGTGACGTAGGAGTATTGAATTTACATGATTGATTTGAGAAAGATTATTTCCTAGTGGGTGATATTTTGAAAGTAGAGAGTGCCAGGAAAGGGCCTATGAATTCAATTAGAAGTGATTAAAATAAAGTAAGACCAACTTAATGTTTTTGATCCAGGATATATGGAGAATATTATTAATTTCTTCTTAAATTCTCATTTCTAAATTCATAGCTCTTTTAAACTCAGTTAAACTCAGTTTTCATTAATCATTTTGTTATAATTTTAATTCATTATCATAGACAAATACAAACTGAAAATTAAGATTTTGACCCTACCCTAGAGTTTAAATGGGCATTTAGGAAGAATGCATTAGATAAAGCCCTGATCCTCAGCAGCCAGACAAGGTTGATGAGACAGGCAACCAAAGACTACATAAATACATATATCATACAGATCACATATTGGCATATGTGTATGAAAATAGGGAGTTCAAATTTTAAAAATGTGAAACATGAAAAATAGTAATTCTATAATAGTACTTGTGGTGTAAAATTTAAGTTTAGAAATGTGGTTAAGAAATCAGATAGGCATAATTTTATGGAAGGAATAACACTTTCAGTAATAGCAAAATTTAAGCTCCTAAAGAAAATTTTACATGTGCAGGATGACAAAGTTCACTTACTAAGAGTACTAGCAGTAATAAAATTAGGGTAGAACTGTGAGAATGAGGAAAGGAAGAGGTTACTGGTAAATCCATAAAATCTAAGAATTGAATTTCATAGTGAGATTTATCTAAACTCTTTGGAAGTCACTAAAGACTCGGTTCTGTGGGGTGAGTTGACAAATAAATGAAGCCCAAAGGTATGTTTGATGCTAAAAATATTACAGTAATTTAAGCAGTTGATGTTTGGTAAGGATGGAGGAAAGATGGACACTGATTTCTACTGAATGGCAGTGAACAGAACAGCATAATGAGAACTTGCTGAGCTTTTCACTATTGAAATAACAATATGGGAGAAAAGGTCAGCAGACAACATAAGGGTGTGTAACAGTGCCCTGGGCACTTACAGTGAACATGAAAGATGTGTTTTCTTTTAGCTATGAGGTTACCATGAAAAAGTGAAGTCTGAAATCAACAACTCTGACTTGTTAATTCTGGATTACAAAAGATCTTGAGACATTTGAAAGTTACCTTGAGATAATAGACTGTAATGCAGAACAGTTTGATTTTTATTGACAATACTGAAGTAAGAAGAGGATGGATTTAGAAGAAAGTTTACATTTATTCACTTAACCTTTTCAATATATTTCTGTCCTTAGAGATGTCATATCTGAATCAGGATAGCACTAGTTTGTTTTTTTGTTTGTTTTGTTTTCAAAACTGGGTCTCACTTGATAAAAATTCATTTTCTCTGACTTAGTTGTTATCAGAGCAAGGAAAAAACTATGCCTGTACTTTATTATTTAACAGCCTTTATAATCTGTTACATCTTTACATCCCTTAGGAATATTTATATAATGTTAAAGGGAAAGTTTGCAAAAGTTGAAAAAAAATATTTTAGGTAGGTATCATTTTTTTTTCTTCTCTAAATGTAATGTTTAAATTTTTAAAAATTTTTTGCAGAGTATTTTACTACTTTGGGAACAGTTTGAAGATACTAGTCATCACAGCTACCATTCGCACCACAACTTAGCAGGGATTCTCCTAATCATTTTAAGAATTTGCCTAGCATTGTCTTTAGGATGTGGACTCTATCAAATCATCACAGTGGAGAGAAGCACACTCAAAAGAGAGTTCTACATCACATTTGCCAAAGTATGAGCTGGGGTAAAAAGTGATTATTCTGATTATGAATGTTGTTCTGATTTCTGTGGGAAGTTAATAAAATCCACGTGCTAACTTCTGTTTACTTATTATGTGTTAGGAACTACTGTAAGCCCTTTATTTGTATTACTCATTTAATCTTCACAACCATAATGCTGTGGGCATTATCTTCCCAATTTTAGAGAACCTATGGAGTAGTATTTTCCATGTAATCTTTGTCAACTTTGCCTGTATTATAGTTTCTTATATCAATAAGGATTTTGCATTTTCTCTGTGGTAACAGAATATTTTTTAATTTTTTTAATGATATTCTAATTTATCATTCTAATTAGAATACAGTTTGCAATTTTTCAACAGTTTATTAATTAGCTGAACTGTTTGTCTCAGAGTTATGCAGTGTTTTATAACACTTGAGGAGCTATCCTGTAGCATAAGCAGATGAAGCCAGGTGGCTGAGTACCTATTGTGTTTCAGCTACTTCACCCATATTAAATCATGTCCATTTTATTCCCCCTTTCTTTGTTGTTGTACTTTTTGGTTGTTTATTTGTTTTTTGTTGTGCTGAGTATTGACTTAGGGGCTTTATGCATGCTAGGCAATCACTCTACCAACTGAGCTATATCCCCAGCCCTTTAAGTCCCCCTTTGTATATCACTCTTAGGCCTGAGAGAGCTTTAAAAAAATATATTTTTTGTTTGTTTATTTGTTTGTTTTATTCTCCTTATACCTAGTTAGTCAAAGGAAAGATTGTCAAGAGAAGTGTTGGAGCAGTAACTCACAGAAACCTTCCTTCCATAGAGGTTCTGTTTTTCTGTCAGGTTGAAAAAATCTGTGTCCCTTCATTCCTGTGTGCAGTAGATCCAGCCTGGTCCACCAGCATTCTGAGGCATGTATGGCAGAAGAGCCAAATTCCTCCCTATTTCTGGTGTTGAACTTTGCAAAGCTGCTGCAGTGGCCCTAGAACCCAGCTTCAGACTGGGTTCTAGGGCCACTGCAAAGTACCCAAAGGGCAAGAAATTGCCATTTTGCTTTTGAATTTTTCACAGGGGCAGGAGTGGATATTGTTTGATAAGTTCATATATATTTGAGATGTTTGGGCCCTTTTTTTGTTCAAAACAGTATTAAATGTTTTTATTTGAACTTAAATAAAAATTATTTTTAGTTTTTAATATAACTTTTTGAATAGGGTCAAAAATCTAAAAGTATTCAGAGAGTAGCAAAAAGTACTTCTTACCTTGCTTCCTTCTATGCAGTTACCACCATCTCCTCATATCATCACTGATAGGAGTTCCTAATTTATCCTCCCAGAGAATTTTATTTATTTCTACATGTAGTTTCCTCCATTTTCATTCATGTAAAAATGTACCAAACACTTTTTCTACATCTTTTTAATCCTTGAATCTTCAGTGTACCCCACAACAGCTATATTTTAACTTACTTGTTTCAAATTTAATTTTTGGAAAAGCGAATATGCTGAAATAGTTCAAGGAAAACCAGAAAAAGATATTTGGAAAGTATAATATAAACAGTTTTCCATTCTTACCTTCCCATTCTCCCTTCTCCGTATTACCTCCAAAAAGGTAACCACTATTAGTCAGTTTTTTGGTGTGTATTTTTACAAAGTTTCTTTGTGTATCTACATTCACATACGAATGTGCATTTTTATGTTTTTTTACAAAAATATTCTACATTTGTACCTTGCTTTTTCTCAATTATTGTTGCTTATATTAATGTATTTATAAGTATTATCAAAATTTGTATATATAACAGATTTACAAATAGAAGGTTATAAATACTCTTTAAAAACACATTTGGTTAGAAACAGTATTAATATGACAGCAACAGTAAATTTTTTCTACATTTTATTGCTAGCTTTATCCTAAAGGCCAGTTGAGGCCAATCAGGAATTCAGTGCTAGTAACAATGTTTTTATCTGGTACATTCTGTAAATAAAGACAAAGCTGTACTTATTTGACTTATTATTCATTTGTTTCAGGGTTGTATCCTGTGGTTTTTATGCCATCCTGTTCTTACGTGCATTTCTATCCTTTTCAGTGACTACCAAAGAGATAAGGTAAGTAATATAATCAAACTAGTCATTTTAAATGAAAATGTAGTCTTTTTTTGAAAAATATTGAGGTAGGAGAGGCCTGTTGATTCAGAAGTTTGAGTTCTTTACAACTGACAAAATATTGAACTTGTGATTGTTTAAAATATAAAATAATTTTTAGAAATTTAGTTTATAAGCAAAATGATGGAAATATCTTTTGTTCTTAATTCAGCCTTCTTCAGAATAATGTTTTATATATTAAATATGTAATATATATATCTCCTCCCACCCCCAGTGCTAGGCGTCGAACCCAGGGCCTTGTGTATGCTGGGCAAGTGTTTTACTTTGAACTACATACCCAGCCACATAGTATAGAATTTATAATACATCTTTGTTAAGAAAAAGATTAAATTTTTTGCTCCATAATGGTAAAAATCATGATAGATTCATAAAAATCAGTCAGTTTCTGTAACAGACTACAGGCTGGAGTGCCATGCTCAAGTAGCCGAGTCTTGATTGTGTTGATTCCTCCCCTCCTGGGCGAACTGCTCCATCACTTGATAGTGGAGTTCTGCCAGGAGCCCCTTACAAAGCAGTGCACTATGTGCTTGAATGCACAAATGTTTATTGAGCCTGAGGTATTCACAAGGGTAAATAAGTAGGAAGGTAGTATATAGAAATAGGGAAGTGACTTGAAAATCTCTGAAAGGGCTTTAGAGCACTCTGGCATTTGGTAGTGGCATGCTTAATTCCTATTAGCCAGGAACCTGGTTTTTCCTGTGAGTTACTACTCTTGTGTATACTCTTGTGTGCACACCCTTAGGAGAGAATGTTTTAGCAAGTTATTCTTTTTTGTCTTACTTGGCATCTGTAAACTGTTGGAGGAATTTTTCCCTTGAACAATTACAGTTCATAACATAAGTCATATTTTCCTGTTGAAGATTTCTTTGATAAAATGTACATGTGGTAAAGATGAAGGATAGAGTACTGTATATAAAAAGCATATACGTGTTCATGATAAATAGAATATATTTTCTGTTTCTGCTTGCAGTAAAAGCATTCTTTTTCTTTTCTTTTCAGGTTATCACAATAGGTGTTATCCTTTGCCAGTCTGTTTCCATGGTTATTCTCTACAGACTTTTCCTATCCCACAGTCTATACTGGGAAGTCTCTTCTCTTTCCTCAGTAACACTGCCACTGACCATATCATCTGGACACAAAAGTCGCCCTCATTTCTGATACTTGATTTTTGTTGAAAGAAAAAGTGAATTGGTTAAAGGAGTGCAATAAGGATCCAAATACAGTGACTCTTTTTTCATACATTTGGTATGAAGAATTGAACTTTGAAACCAGAGCATGTTATTTATATAACTGCATTTAAGCAGTACCAAAATCAAAGAGGTAATAAGTCAAATGTTTTGAAAGAAACTTAAACAATAAACTTTCAAGAAAGAGTGTTGTTATAAGGTGATTGAAGCAATTTCCATATGGAATAAATGTGAAAAAGAACTATATGATAGTTTGGTAAGATATTCACCACTTATAATGCCTCATATCAATAGCTAACTCAGGTTTGATAGTATTTTAAAAAGTAATCAGTTAAATGATTACTTGCATATACATATCTAAACTAGTCCAGTTATGAAATCAGTGTAATACATTGATTGAAAAAACTGCTTCGTTTTAATGCTTTAAAGAAAATGTATTTCATGTTAGAGTTTAAAGAATTTGAAAATGAGATTACTTCAGGAAATGAATATAAAATATACTCAGCTACCTAAATAAGATTTTGTTTACTTGTGGGTGGGTTTATTTGCCAATTCTTTCATTTTTGGCTCTAGTTCAGGTTTAGCTTGATTAGCAAAGGATTTTTGACAAATTTATGAAAAATAAAACCTAGACACTTTACATGGGTTTTAAGGACAAAGGATTTTAAAATTTGAGCACTTAGGTAAAGGGACAAAAAGGTTTATGTGTCTGAAAAGAAAAAAGGAAAAGGTACTATGCGATATGGTACTAAAATTTTAATCCTGATATAATTCATTTCTCTTACATTGAATCCTCAATCATAATTAAGCCATATACCCAGATTAAATTAACAGAAGCATTTCACATAAATGTTGGTTTCAGTCATCAACTACCCATGAATTCCTGCCCAAGGATACTTAATCAGGATTAAATTTTCTATGAATAATTGAAAAACAAAATACTCACTGGGTTTGTTATAATCCGTGTTGGCACTGGATTCTAAGTAGTTGCCATCTTGAATCCTTTGTAATAAAGCCATATTTGTGGGGTTTTTTTTGTTTTTGTTTTTGTTTTTGTTTTTTTTGTGTGTGTGTGAAAGAAAGATGCCCTTCTGTTGAGTACACTAGTTTAAAAATACTCCATCAAGTGCCTGATTAAAGAATTGCTAGATGGTTGTCACTGCCTGCTGTATAAAGTGAATATTCCCATTCATAGTAACTGACTGGAAATAATTCTGTTGCTGTTTGTCAAGTTGTTCAGGCCTTTTTATTTTTATTTCTGGTTATTTAAAAATATTTTTATCTGCTTATTACATTTTTAAACAAGAAATGGTGCAATGATCTGATAATTAAACTTATAAATTAGTTTAAATGATGTAGCTCAACTTAAGAATATCTATGGCTTTGTCTGTGTTTTTCCCTGGCACATAGTCTCACTGGAAATGAATAGTATTCTACTTTATTCTAAAGGCAAAATATTTTTGTGTGTGACTAGCAAAATGGCACAGTAACAAAGCTCAACCCACTGATTAAATCACCTCCCTAATAGTTCTTTGTCTATCATTTAATAAATGAGTGCTGCAGGTTAAGACTAGAAAGTCTGAAGAATGTTTTAGGTTTACAGGATCTGCTGAGTGGTCATAACTTTTTCTTTTATCATATCACTAATAACAACCAGTTAATGTCTGCTATGTTCAACTGAGTCACAGTTAATTAATCTAAAAGAGTGAGAGAAATTTTTTTCATACAATTTGTGAAATTGCAACAATGGGAAAGGAATAATTATTTGTATTATTTTACATAAAGAACACAGTAACTATAATCAACATATGTGAAATGTATTACTATACTTGCATTTATTTAACTTTAAAAGTTTTTGTTTATTTTTCTAAGTGTAGCTGAAATGCAGATAATTTATTTTGTTATTCAAAAGCCATTATTAAATGAAGGAAAACAGTTTTTAATAAATGTATAAAACTGTCCTTGGTTAGTAATCAGGGACAAAATTCATAGTTTGTAAGTCATGACACAGCATCTTTTTTTCTTTCTGAATGTTTACATGGAGATTCTTCACTACAGATTACAGGAAGATAAGCATATAGTGCAAACTCTAATGAAAGATTAAAAACGTTTCTTCTCTTCCTCTGTCAGATAATTCTTTTTTATCCACTTTTACAATTTTTCTTGGGATAAATGTTCTGCCACTCCTGCCCCTTTTGGGAAGCAAAAATTTTTTTCTTTGGGAAGAAAAAAATTCTTTCCTTATTGACATGCATAATAGTAAGAATGCCTGCTATGCATCAGGCACTTAACCCTCATTATCACTAAGCCCTATTGCAATAACCAAGCTCCCAATGAACAGAGTAGGAGACTGTTTCCTCTAAGGTCATCCATCCATTGAGTTTTTCTACTCTACCCTCACGATTTAATGAGCACGTATTCAATGTGTATGGTTTTAGTGAGAATTAATGGTTATCCATGTTAATTTTACTGTTGGTTTGAACATTAAATCCAGAATTGTGCTGAAATCTGAAATGAAAAGAACTCAGTACTTCAGAATTTGAACCTGGCTTTCAGCCAGACTGTATTGCTAGCAGGGAGAATTAATCCAGGCAGAAGAGCTTACTTGAGGGAAATTTTTCATAATCTCAAGTAAAGTTAAGCCAATTCTCATGAAGGTAGAAGTGATACAAGTCTAAGGTCACCTCCAATAAGACTAGAATCTGTATATCAGCATGAACATGAACCCCTTCTCTCCCTTGGGAGACTGCACATTCTATGGAAATTTTTTAGAAACCTGAAATTACTTGTAAAACCCACTCTTTTACATAGCTTCTGTGGTGTCAAATCATTGAGGATTTTGTTTTTGTTTTGAGAATTGTCATGCTCATTAGAAACATCCAGTTGGTTAGAGGTCAGATCGGAAGGGTTAGTGCCATTTTGTCTTCCAGCATGGATTTCTGAATTGAGACAATAAAGGATTGATTTTCCTATGAGGTCTGGACACCAGTGTGGAAGCCCTATAGCTTGAACTTTTGTAGTGGCTTGTGAGTAACATTCCTGCCTCCACACCTGGGCAGCCTTCTGCCTAGCTCCAAAAGCTTTGTGCACACTGGGCTGTAGGAATGCAGTGAGGCCTGGAGGTGTGGGAAGACAGCCCTGCCACTGTAGGCATTCTCCACTATGCAGCCAAAATAGCCTCTTAAAGACAAATCAGCCATACAACGGGCATCCAGGAATTCTTTGTGCTAATCTTACGACTTTTTTGGAAATTTGAAATTATTTCAAAATAAAACATTGAAAAAATATTTAAATCAGATCCAACTACTACAGCCCTGATAACTCTTATTTGCCTCTCATTGTACTTAGAAAAAAAGAAGTCCCCATGTATTAACCGTGTTTTCTGCAAGTCCCCATAGGGTCTAGTTAATCCCTACCTCTATATGTGATTTTATTAATTTGTATCACTCTCCCTTCCACCATACCTCAACCTCATTGTTCTTCATCTAAAAGTACCCCGCTTATGTCCCTAAATTGGCACTAGCCATTTCTTCTGCCTAGGTTATTCTCTTCCAAATCGTGGTTGCATGACCAAATCCTCATCCTTCAAATTCTCTATACAAATGCCTTTTCAGACACCTCAACCATCTGTGGTAGATTTGATGGTGCCACCTAAGTTCCCCAGAGTTTTTGTCCCTATGTAACTCTAAGACAGTTCAGCCCACAAAAAAACAATTGATAGAGGAGATTTAGAAGGTGGAAGTAAAGCAGCAGTCAGGTCCAGACTCTGTAATTAGAAGGTCCAAGCAAGGCACTAGGCACTGTTGCAGCTTACCCCACATTGTTGACTCATCTTCTTAGCCTATGGGACAATAGCAAGGAACACAGCTTCCTGCTGGATCATCCCCTTAAGCCTGTGATTCCTGGGCCAAGTGTGTATATTACTCTGTGACAGACAGTATTAGTTTCTGCAAAACAACACCGTGCTTAACTTTGGACAACTGAAGGAAGTGAGATTGGTGTGAGTTCCAGTCCATTCTTATAAGTTCCATTTAGTCCCCATGGGTTTTATTCTTCCTAGAAAGTTCCTGAATTATTCCATTTTATATCATCTTTCGTACCCAAGTGCCAGACAAAGAGAAACAGCTTTCCTAAAATCCATATAATTGCTTTGTTTTAAATATTAAATGTATGTGTTACATTCTAACGGTTCTCCAATCAGATCCTGAAAACACCATCCTATCTAATGCTGCCCTCCCATCCTAATTATTCTCATATTATCCTTTTGTTTTCTTTGTTGTCTCTTTCCAATTAGAATATAAATTCTAAGGGAGTTTGCTCATTGTTTTGTCCATCGCTGTATGCCTAACACCTAGAACATCCCCTGGTACACACCAGGTACTCAAAATATTTTTGAATGAATGAATGAAAACAATCCTGAAGTTCTAAATGTACTTATAATGTGGCATTAGTTAAATAATAAAAATGTCCATAGTGACTTTAGTAATATTCTACCTGTTCTCCATTAAATCATGGAACTTGGAAGTGTGTAAGTCTGGAATAGTCAAGTAGTTATAAAGACTCAACAGTAAAACTCTCCAGTTATAAGAGGATGACACAGGTTGTCATGAGGGAGTTTCCATTTTTCTGTAATACTCCATGGACCATTGTGGCTGGTTTCTTTGCCCATCACAACTAGATGCACTAATTTAAAAGAAAGTTTTTGAGTCATCTAGAGGAAAGAATGTTGACAGAAGTTGGAGGTCGCTGGAAGAAGACAGAAAACTAAAAATGACAATACCATCACAGCAACCTGGGGTCATTTAGTTTGAGTGAAAACAGCCCTGTGTATCCCAATAGACTCTTAGACCATTTACACAGAACTCCAATTGTATATATTATACATTTGTATCAGTTCTCTCTTACTGGACTTTGGTGTTTTTAGTCTTCTATTATCAATAAGGCTGAATTTAAGACTATGTAATCAAGAATTTTCCTAGCCTTCCTCCAATCTAGTTCCCAGGTCTAACTTCTTGGAATTTTCTGAGTTATTGAATGTCTTTGTGATTCACGGTGGGTCCTGATAGTTTTTACTAGTAAGATGACTCAGGATGAGGGTTAGCCACACCAGAAATACTAACCATCTGATTAGAGGTTTGGGGCATTGAGTCACATGATTACAACCCAACCTCTAGGAAGCAGGGAGAGACTGGAGATTGAATTTCTCCTTATGGTCAGTGATTCAATGAATCCTGCCTACATAATGGAATCCCAATATAGACAACAGTCCAACTCAGGTGACTTTCTCAGGTTGGTTGGCAGTACTCTGCGTAGTCATACGTCAATGTTCTAGGAAGGTAACATGCCTCTGAAGACAAAAACTTTGTGTCTGGATCCTCCAGACCTCACCCTATGCACATCTTCTTTCAGCTATTTTGATTTGTATTCTTTTGCTATAATAAACTATAATTGCACATATAGCCTTTTCCTGAGTTCTGTTGATAGGTAACAGACGTAAGCAGTGGGAACATGAGGTTAAGGGGATAATTCCATAAACTGGGCCTCCTGTGCGGACCCCCACATACTTTCTTTTTAAAAGCAATTTACCTGCAGCCTCGCTTAAGTCAATAGGATATTTTACATTCATTCCTTAGCAAACAACCTGTTTTCTGCAAGAGAAATGCAGGCCCAAAAGTTCCTGTCATGTAATAAGAACACAAATTACCCTGAAGTGGGGGACTTTTGTGACCCTTGGAAAGACTAGATTCCAGAACTCAGGGAAGTAGCAGCAAAGCCCTGTAAGGATAAAATCTATAGGAACAAATTCTAATCTATAGGAACCCATCAATGTGGGCCGAAGTGACCCAGAGTTGCCTTCAGATCTTTAGCATATCATTATAATAGTAAAATTTCTTCTCCACCTGGAAAGACTAGGTGTAGTGGGGACTCGGAAGTCTGATGCAAGTTTGCTCTCAGCCAAAAATCAAGAGGTGGACTTGGCTGGAACTCTCTGGAAACTTCCCTGGGACCCCTAATACAACTGGAGGGCAGGGGGGGTATACCACCCCTCTCAGTGCCAGCTCCTTTTCCCCTTTTTCCTATCCCTTCTAATAAACTCACATCTGCTACCACATATGATGGTCTAAAAACTTCCTGGTATGATCACAAGAACTAATGAGAGGACATCCGTGGTCACTTAAGGGCCATAGATATGCTTGCATTATAACACTGCGTGTTGTTCTAGTGAATTATCGAACTTGAGGGGGTTGTGGGAATTTCAAACATGTGGCCAATTGGTCAGAAGTGAGGATGGCCCTACAATGCCCAGAATTCTGCTAGTTTCTTAAGTGAGGACAGTCCTATGGAGGATTAAACTGATATTTGCTTTAACTTCAGGTAGCTGGTGTTAGAATATTGCAAGTATCCTTGTGCAATATTAGATGCCAGTATGACAAATAATAATATTTCATTATAGTTCTTGGCATTATTTTTTTTAAGAATTTAACCTTTATTTATTTATTTGTTTTTATGTGGTGCTGAGAATTGGACCCAGGGCCTCACTCATGGTAGGCAAGCACTTCACCACTGAGCTAAACCCCAAGCCCTATTAATTTATTTTTAAAAAACATTTTCTTTCTTGGTGTGTTATCTCTTCATGTTTTTTGCCCACTCTTCTATGGAGCTGGTTGTCTGTTTCTTACTGGTTTATTGAAGCTCTTAAAGAAATTGGTCACTTATGATATAAATTTAAAATGTGTTTTCCATTATTCTTTCTACTATGTTAATGATATATTTTTCCTTTTAGATTTTTTTTAATATAAGTGAAATTATCAGATTTTTTTTCTTTTTTTTCTAATTCCTATGTTCTACCTATCTCCCAAATACAAAAGTCTCACTAGCCAGCCTCAGCAATTTACCTCTTTGAGATTCTGATTAAATCCCTCATATTTTCTTCTAGTAGATTTATAGTTTTATTTTATATGTTTAATGTTTTATCCACCTGGAATTTTCCTATAAAATATGAATTACAGATCAAATTTAATTTTTTCAAATGGTTGTCCACTTATTACAACATTATGTATTATGTAATCCATATTTTCTTCACTGATTTGATGCTAATCATTTCTGTACTTTTAAGGCTG